ATCACCTATGGTCAGGACATAGGCACATGAATCATAAGTAGGACTTTTGCTTTGTCTTCTTTACCTCACTGCTTCTCCTCACACCAGACAGGGAAGTATCTCAGTCAGTGCTGAGCAGCACGCACACAGTTTCGTTTGAAAACTAGCCCCCATGAAAGAACATGAGAGAAAGAATCCCCTACCAATCTCATTTACCTTGTGTTTGTGTTATCTAAATAAAAAGGTATAAAAATTAAATGGAGTCTCCCAGGTGGGTCTTTGAAAACTCCAGGGCACACAATCTAATACTTAGCTACTTTAAGTTTGGTGAGGAAGTGCCTCTGTCAGTAGCCATGCTTCTAACAGAGTGCAGAGGAGAGGTTCGAGAACCTTCCTTCTGTCCACAGCTTTGCCATTAGTTATGATCTGTGTAATCTAAGATAAGCAGCTTCCTCTTTGCAGCCTGTGATTTCCTCTCTGTAAAGCTTGGTTGGGACTTTCCAGGATCTATCCTCCCTCCCAGCTCTGAGGCTTGTCTAGAGCCAGGTTGAGGGACCCCAATCACTTCTTCCTCCCAGTTAATCCACTCTGAAAATAAAATCAGTGCTTAGAGGGAATGCTCAGAGCACAGAATTTAGAATGTGGGGAGTTGTGCATAACCAAGGAATATTTCAAGCTGTGATACAGTGTTCTGGAAACCTCTCAAAATTCTTATCTTCCCCAGAGAGAAGATTGACACAAATCCTGCAAACAGAGCAATCTTCCCTTCAGTAAATAAGAGAACCAACCCCAACGGTCTTGTCTTCCACTCCTCTTTGTCTCTTACCTTTTCTCACCTCTGCTCAGTACTCAGAGCACAGTGGTTAGCTTTCAGCTGCTTCTCATTTGATTCCACCCTTTCTGCTATAGATAGCAATACAAATATCTGAATGACACTTGCCAAAGTAAAAAATAATCTTGCAAAGGAGACTTTTTATAAGAATACTGGAGGAAACGTTTGGGATTTAGGACAATTGGTGGAATTGAAAGTGATAGGATGGCCCATTCAGTGTGATTTCTAACTCCGGCAGGCTTGTAAAAACCTACCACTGATTTTCAGGGGACTATCAAAGTTTAGTCACCCATGTCTGAAGAAGCCATTAAAATATCACCCCATCTCCTAACGACATGTTTTTGTGGCTGTTTGGTTTTCAGTAGATGTTACCCTGAGAGACTACAGCAGGTTGAATTCAGAAGCAGGTTAGAGAAGCCAGCTGGAGTTAAATTTGAGAAGTGAACAAAAATGTAAAACATGCTCCTCTTTTTTGTACAAGAAATATTTATATTAATATAATTATCTTCTATATAAGTTGCTTATAATCAGTTTTAATTTCGTGTGTGTGTGCGTGTGTGCGTGTGTGTGCGTGTGTCTGTGTAATCCACTTTAAGAGTATTTCAGAGTATAAATAGGTTATAATTAGAATGAGGGTCACTATGTGCTAAGCTCCATCTTCACCAGAGACTATCATCAGCATCATGGTACCTCACTTGCAGGTATCTTAGCATCACTACTGCTATAACGAAACACTGTAACTAAAAGAAACTTGGGGGGAGGGGGGGACGGGAAGTTTTTCTGTTTTTGTTTTTTGCTTACATAACCTCAATCACTGTCTACTGAGGAAGCCAAAGCAGGAACTCAAGCCACGTGGGATCATGGAGGCAGAAGCCAAAGCAGAGGCCCCCTTACAGTGGAGGGATGCTATTTACAGGTTTGCTCATCGTGACTTGATCAACCTTACTTTCTTATAGAACCTGGAACCACCAGTCCAGGGATGGCCCCACCCACAATGGACTTGGCCCGGCCTCATAAATCAATAACTAAGAAAATGCCCAACCAGATTGCCTACAGCCCATTCTTGTAGAAGTATTTTTTCTTTCCCTCAGATGACATTAGCTTGTGTCAATTTGACATAAAACTATTCAGGACAAGTAAAGATTCCCAGGGAGGTTTTTTTTTTTTAGAACTATTGGACTATTGGATAGATAACAGAAGCCAAAATCATCCTGCAGAGGAACAAGAGCTCAACACAAGACAAAGAACAGCCAGAATCACCATCAACACCCCATCATCACCATCAACACCCCATCATCACCATCAACACCCCATCATCACCATCAACACCCCATCATCACCATCAACACCACCATCATCACCATCAACACCGTCATCATCACCATCAACACCGTCATCATCACCATCAACACCATCATCATCACCATCAACACCACCATCATCACCATCAACACCCCATCATCACCATCAACACCGTCATCATCACCATCAACACCGTCATCATCACCATCAACACCATCATCACCATCAACACCATCCTGTGCTACCCAACAGAATACTCTGTGCTTGAGAAATAAGAACAGAAGAAGTATAAAGAAGCATCCAAGTAGCAGGCTCAAACAAAGACAACCCCAAACCCTCCAAAACTCAAGGGTGTCATGTTAGAAATAAAAAAGTGTCAATAGATGAAAAATGAAGATAAGATATCCTAAGAACAGACAACTAGCAACAAGTTGAGAAAAAAAAAGAAGAGAAAATGAGAAAATCAGACCAGCAGATCTAAAATGTGAGTAACAGGACCTCTGCCACGCACCAGCAGAAGGATAAATGTGTCAAACACATGATTCCAAAACAGTAGGCTCTATTTAACCTTTGGTTCCAGTATCCCTTGCATTCCTTCCTGTAGGTGGTTAAGACCCATAAGCATATTTGCCTGCATTTTATTATGTTTTATTTATGTTAGGAACTAAAGCTCAGAAATGACTAAAGTATCAATTTATATTATAATAATAATCATAAACCCACATGTTTTGGCAAATGATTTTATGACTTTAAGCTTTGTGGTCTTGTTTGGGAACCAGTTTACATTTTTGAAGTTCTCTTGCTGTTTAACTCCATAGCAAACACCAGCAAACACCTCCTGTTTCTGTGAGGCAAGCCAAGTCACACAGCCCCTGGCAAAGCTCGCTGTATTCTGAAGAGAAGGAGGAATGGAAAACGGCATTCTTAGGAATGAATGTCCTATGCATGTCCTGAAGAAGGGGACTTTCAATGCTACAGCTCAAGATCAAATCCATACTTGCTATGTACATGATCAGGGACCAGACCCAACACTGACCCACACAGAACCTCAGAAGTATGTTAGCAAAGAAAAATGTTCTAAAGACCTTACAGAAAAATAAGAAATCACATAGAGGGATCAATTTGGGGGAAAAAAGGTGATACTAAATTCTCAACAGCAGTATTTTAATTCATGGGGCTCTGCAAACATTCTAAGAAAATCACTCCAAGCAAGAGTCCTGTGTCCCGCAGCATTATACAGGCCAGTTGAATGGAGAACATTTACCAGTTGAATGGAGAACATTTACTGAAGAAAAAGACCTAGAACTTGGAAGTCTGGTCAACCTCACTTAGGAAGCTTCCAGAAACTGCCTTCTCTCAAAGGACAGATTCTGTGGGAAATGGTAAGAAGTAAAACACCCAGCACAAGAGTCAAACCAGGGTGATGGATCACCAAGAGAGTTGCAGAACTGTAGAACAGCAGGAGAACGGTCCATGTTGGCAGAAGTGCAGTCCACAGGCTCAGGGACAGAAGGCCCCCAGCGACAGTACACCCCCAGGAGTGGCATCACCAGAAAAAATGTTCACTTGCACAGCATTTTCTAAGTTACACATGCAGTTTGGCAGTGAATTAGCAGGCTATACAAGGAGACATGTGGAAAGAAGGAAGTTTTTGTGACTTTTTTTTTCAAATGACACAGTTCTAGAACCGTATGAAGAGGTAACAGGTCTCTCTTTTCTTCAACCATGTTTTTTTTTCCATTCATCTGCATAGAGGTATATAAAAAACATCCATCCTGGGAGAGATTATTTTAACTCGAGGGACATCATGGATCTACAAGAAAGGAAAAGAAATCACATAGATGCTAACGCTAAGCTAGGATCATTATTTCCACAGTATTCTCATTGTCCTAAGGATGTAAATTTGGACATTTAATCTAGTCGGATTGCAAAATACATCCAGTTAAGAAGATGATAGGTGGGAGTTTCAGAAAATGAAAGGATCAACAGCTAAAACTGGAAAAGTGGCAACCCTTCATCAACATGCGTGGGAACAGTAAATACTTCTCAGCAGTGGCCATAGCCGATGCGCAGCATAAAGCAAGGGTCTATTTTATTCTATTTCTGTAGAACCATCTGTCTTTGTATTAAATATATAGCATATAACATTTAAAAATAAGCACCTGACTGACACTAAACTACACGTTATTATAATGTATAAGGAATGCAACTGGGAAATGTATCACTTAGCCAAGAATATCTAGTGACCAAGCCATTCCACTTTCAGAATTGTGTGCAGCATTGGTAGATTAAATGGTCGAACAGATAGCCATGCGATACAGTGGTCCTGCCGCCAGCGCTTAAGGAGTTCCCATTTGAGTATCGATAGCTCTTCTCTTGGTGTATCTGTCCTTTGAACAGTCTTTCCTATGAACACTTCCTCTGTTGATAATTTCATTAATGTGATTGAGCGTCTTATTTTTCAAATGCATTAGTAATTCATTGAGACAGGGAACCTGGCCCACTTTGCTGGTTGATATGAGGGGTGCGGTGGCTGTGGGCGGGTGTATGTGTTTGTATGCCTTAGACTGTATGGGTACCTAGGCACTTCTTCGATGGATGGATGTATGTGAACATTTTGACAACTGATGACAGATGTCCAGGATACTTAACTCCTATGCACGCTTTATCTCTGGTGGGAGAACGACTGGTCCACTCTGTGTCTAAACTCCTGCTCTACCCCTGACCTTGAAAACTCTTATCTAAGCCTTGGACACAGTGGCAGTAGACCTGTGACCCTATAGCCTGATTCTTTATAAATGTTGTTAGAAAGGTCAATTTTAAGTTCCATAAAATGTCTTAAAGACTACAATCTAATACTTCCTCGTTGTGTGTTTTGTTTTACTAGTAAACTTCTTCAAGACCTGGAAAACTGTGAAAATGATCCTGTGGCCATAGCAGAATGTTTTGTGTCCAAGGTAAGCAGAAAAATTCATCTTTCAGGACCAACCAAGACAGACAGAGTGCAGTTTGTTTTAAAGTTAGAATAAATGCTTATTCAACATTGAATTAAGCTAGCCAGAGAATCATGCACTTTTTTGGTTTTGTTTTCATAGGGGTGTGTGTGTGTGTGTGTGTGTGTGTGTGTGTGTCACACACACATATACACACACTGTTATAATGAAGACGGAGGGAGATATTAGCTCTAGTATGCCTAGAGTTTGTATAGTAGTTGGATAATATTATTCATTCCTTCCTTGAAAAGATTTAAAGCTTGAGAGAGGAGAATCTAGACTAGAGAATGAAAAAAAATCCATATCCATACCTCTAAATCCATTCTTTAAATATATCACAAGAAACTACATGTTCCGTGTGTGATATATGTGGTACCAGCATATTCACTGCTGTTACCTTTCAAGGAGTAAAGAACAGTAAAGCTGACTTCCTGCATCTTAAACATGCACTGAGTTTCCTACATTTTTCTTATCTGTCATTGGTAGTTCAAAAAAATGCAAGGCATGAGCTTGACATGAAGCAAGTTTCATGCTCTGAACTTAGAAGGTAGACATTTTGCAATATCGTGGGCCTTCCACAAGCTGCTGCCTGGCATACACAACATCCTGGCTTATTCAAGTTTTGCTTTGGAGCTCTGAAGAAGTTCTATCTAGAAAAATTTGTCTGGCAGTAAAACCTCATGTGATTTCCGGGGATGTATAAGGGTCTGAGGCGGACCAGGTTGAAGCAGCGTTCATGGCAATGCTTTGGAACCAACCAGCATTTAGCATCTCATTTTAGAGCCCTGAAATCCAAGGTGAACTAAGATGTTGCTCCATCCATTCCTGGCTCTAGACTTGTTCCACGTGGTTAGTTCTGATGGACACAGAGCCATCCACGTGGCTGGGAATTCAAACCTAATAGCTCCCTGAATTTGATAGAAATCTCTAAAAGCTAATCAACAATATAATTCCCCCTGTCTTATTGTAGCTTTGTGTGTGTTCCCATGTAAGATGTTGGTGCAGACATGCTTACACATGGAGGTTTTTTCACTACTGCCATCATCGTAATGGATTGTCTTATAGGGTAAGAATTTTTAAAAGACAAAGAAAATGGAAACAGGAAAAATGGTGTAAAAACAAAGAGATAGGCTGAGCATTTCAAAGAAGGTATGTTAAAAATGACGTCTGCACATGCGCAACACTGACAGCACATGCGCAACACTGACATTTCAGAAAACTTTCGGCTTTTACTACTAACTGTAATCACAAGCTGATTAAAGAGGCTCCAGTGTTCGCTTAACTCTGACTTAATTATTCACATAAAAGTTTGTTTATGTGCCTCCGTGCCAACTCCCAAATCTCATTTTTCATTGTAATACTGCCAAGTTTAATTAGAAGACCGACTTGAGCACTCAGCACTTTCACATGGGAGCCGGAGTCGGGCGGGGATGCCGGGCTCTGCACTGCCCGCTTCTCACTCAGCACCCTGACATTTAGACGAGGTTACGTTTTTTGCTGAACTGCCACCAGCTGCTCTGCTCTTGAGAGGACTGGAAAATTGCTTTAATTGAGAGGTCATTAGCAAAAGAGGTAAGGCTGGCGGTTGAGTTTTGTTGTTATCTGAATCGCTGGGGCTCCCACACAGTCACTTTTTGTGGTCCATGTAGGCTAAGGAAGTCCCTAACCAAAGAAACAAAACACTGTTACATCTTCCTGACTGCTTCCAGACTGCTTGAGGAACAGAACGAAGTCTTCAGTACTGGGCCTGATGCTCCATGCTGATCTATAATCAGGGCTCTGGAAGCATCTTGAAAGGCTTGGGTCTGTCTTCAAATTGCCTCTTAGCCACCCTCATGCTCGTCCCTAATTGGACTGTCAGTAGGGCTTACTCTGGGCAGCGTTCAGGAGAGATTGAATGACTTCTGACTTCTCCTTAGCCTCTTCTCCCTCACTGCCCCGTCACCCCCATGAGGGCTTCCTTTCCTTCATAGCTGAGGAGAATGAGCACATATATACAGAAAGATGCAGCAAACACTCACTACATATAAATACATGTGTGTACACAGACAACACACACACACACACTTGCCACATATTGGAATTATCAAGAAGTCGCTAGTGTTGAAAACTTATGTCAGCCGGGTGGTGGTGGCACACGCCTTTAATCCCAGCACTTGAGAGGCAGAGGCAGGTAGATTTCTGAGTTCGAGAGTTGGAGGCTAGCCTGGTCTACAGAGTGAGTTCCAGGACAGCCAGGGCTACACAGAGAAACCCTGTCTCGAAAAAACACACACACACACACAAACAAAAACAAAAAACAAAAAAAAAGAAAGAAAGAAAGAAAGAAAAGAAAACTTATGTCAAGCAATTGTCACATTCCCCATGTGCTACTTATGTACCGTGTCCAAGAAAACATCCTTGAAGTCAAAGACTGTAAGGGAGAGAGAGATTCGTGGCAGAAAAGCACTAAAATCCCACAGACATCCTTTGTCTGTCACCCATTCAGCACCCGTTGGACGTCTTGTGTTCTCTGTTTGGCAGCGCTGAACCTTATAGCTTGGGTTTTTGCATAATTTCCTCATCTCTGCCTCCTCTCTAATTAGAATCTGAAAAAGCTGAATAACTAGAAAGCAGTATCTGCTTTTTTCTAATTTGTATAATATATTCCTATAACTGCATCTTTAAAAGGATTTGGGCTAGCATCGTACAATGACTAATGACATTTAAGCATTAACAGGCCTAGGGACTATTGATTTGTTGATGTTGTTGTTTTAATAAACTATTGTTTGTAAGCTGTGACGATGCTTGAACATCTAAGGTCAAATCTGCATTTAATCCTCTGTTAAGGATATGCTACCAATGGAGAAATCTCCAGAACAGGAAGAGTCACCTATAACAAAATTGAGAAGTCTTACAGCCTTATTAGGGACTAGTGTGTGGGGGTTGTCTATATGACGATATGCACTTTATCTTCATGAAGGTCATTGTTTTCAATGTGGCATGTCCCATGATCCTAAGTGTCTCAAAGTGTGAGGAAAGGTAGCTGGATATTCTTCAATCCCAGAGTGAGAAAAGACCAGAAACTCTGAGTCATTAAGGACTAAGGAAAACTCCTGTCTGCTGTGCACTTGCTGAAGGATCTGGGCAAATCTCTTTGCTTTTCTTATTTCTGGAGCCAAGGCTGTCCTGCACAGTCAATGAATGTCTAATTTAATGTCTTAGGGTTTCCATGGCTGTAAAGAGATACCATGACCAAGGCAACTCTTATAAAGAACAACATTTAGTTGGAGCTAGTTTTCAGATTCAGAGGTTCAGTCCATTATCATCATGAAAGGAAGCATTTCAGCATGTAGGCAGACATGGTGCTAGAGGAGCTAAGAATTCTACATCTTGATCCAAGGGCAGTCAGAAAGAGAAGACTGTTTTCCAGGCAACCAGGAGGAGGGATCCAAAGTGTCACACTTCCTCCAACAAAGCCACACCTACTCCAACAAGGCCATACCTCCTGATAGTGCTACTCCCTGAGCCAAGCATATTCAAGCCACCACACTCAATGTGGAGAAGCCATTTAGAGAGTACAGTGGTACAGGTGTTTCCCATGTGACCTGTAGGTCCATGGTATCTATACTTTTTCAGGAGAAGCCACAAAAAATCAAGTTATTTATATTCTCCAATGCTTAGAAGTTGACAGCTGATTTAGAATTTGTAAAGTATTATACTGGAAAAATGTGCTGAGTTTAAAAGACTATGTAGGCTGTAAGGAAGCAGATTCAAACTGGGCCAAAAGCTATGAAAAGGAATCTGTCCAAATCTAGTATTTAGGATTTGGAATTTACCCAGTCACCCACCAATCCTACTTCCAGAAAGCTACCCATAGGATAAACGGACAAAATTTCAGTCAGTCTGATATGATAGTTGGCAGTCATGATTGATCCTCCAAAGACTAGAGACAACCTAAACAAAAAGCTGCTGAATAAGCTTTTGTATATTCAACCAAAGAGTGGAGTATTGTGGGGCAATGCATCCAATAAGGAACGGCTCCCTGGACGGCTTCGGGAGGGGCAGTTAAGTATGCAGAGCACAGTGTGATCCCTTCACTGAAAACTCCACGGTCCCTAACTGAAAACTGCATGGTGCTCCATCCAGAAATCTGTTTTCATAAGCCTTTCAGGGGAGTCCACTCAGGTTCACTCCTACCATGTGATTTGCTTATCTGATAAAGGGATGTCTGTGTTTAAAAACAGGATAACAGATAAGATTAAAACATGGGAGAAAGGAACTGGACTTGGTAGCTGAAATCCCTGGAAGATCAGCAGTTCAAGGTCCTCCTCCTCAGCCACATAGCAAATGTGAAGCCAATACTCTATTTCAACAAACAAAACAAATTGAGGAAAGGAAGGAATCGCCCATGATGGAACAGAACTTCTCCAAATATGTATTTATCTGTAAAACTGGCTCTACATCTATATAACTCAAGGCTTTAAAAAACAGGCAAAAAAAAAACAAGACGAACATGAAACAGTTACAAAAAGGTGTTCACACAATTGGTAGGAAGACATGCAGTGAATATTCTAACTGATTTGGAAGGTGTATGGTGGCCAAAATACAGCCACCACATATTTATGGTGACGTTCCTTTTCTTCTCCTATGAAAAGTATAGCGAGTACTGTGTGAGTACTTGCAAGCAAGTACTGAGGTTGGTGCCCTTGAGAAGTGAAATTGCCAGGAGAAATAAGATATAAAAACAGAAATGCTCCAGACTAATATTAAATCCTGTAGTCCAGGTTTACCTGGTCACCTGTATCCACGTGTGACCCTGATTCCAAATGCTAAGGACCACAAATATATCAGATGTTTCTAGATTTTTGGAACTGTTTATGTATATAATACAGTATCTTGAAGAAGAGATGCAGATGTGAACACAGGATGCTGGAACGCTTCCATGGTGCCTGGGCTAAAAGGATTCTGCACAGTGTTCTCAGTGCAACTGAGGTTTGTGCTACCCACTGCATGAGTTCAGGTGCATCTTACCAAATTATAAAACCTCAACCTGAGAAAACTTCTGTTAACACTAGAGTACAATGGGCAGGTTGCAGAAAGGGGACTGTTGTGTGTCACCAGGACCCCAGAGACTATGACCACGTGGGCAGAATGAATGGTCTGGGTTTTCCAACAACTAAATCACAAAGGGAAAAACAGTGAAGAGGATGTAAAGATCAATGGAGGGCAGAGGATGTTCCTGGCACACTGAGGCTCGGGCTCCAGCCCAGCACTAGAGAGCAAGAAAGCAAACACCAGGCCAGCACTACAGAGCAAGCAGGGAAACACCAGCCCAGCACTACAGAGCAAGAAAGCAAGCACCAGGCCAGCACTACAGAGCAAGCAAGCAAACACCAGGCCAGCACTCCAGAGCAAGCAAGGAAACACCAGCCCAGCACTACAGAGCAAGCAAACAAATACAACCAAGCAGCTGGAAACCTTGGCTTTGTATGATCCTTCTTTGGGCTTCAAGTCAAACAGTAAAACATGAAAGGAGAGGAAGTCAGGGGAAGAAGGAGATATCAGTACTTACTGGCAAACTTTATATCATGGAACTCTTTCAGGATGATCATAGAATTGTGATGCCTATTGACTAAAATGCTTAGCGATAGGACCCTAGAGAGATGGCTCAGGGGTTAAGAACACTGTTCTTCCAGAGGACTGCCTCACAAGCATCTGGAAATATTGTCTCAACAGATCTGAGGCCTACTTCTAGGCCTCAAGGGCACCATGCTCACATGTAGTTCATAGATATCCTTGCTGACAGAACACCTACACATAAAAAATAGATCTTTAAAAATGCTTAGAGACATGTAGTAAAATATTTATAAGTGGTGTTGATATGTTGTCTAGAATTTGCTTCAGAGTAATGGTGGTGGGGTCAGGAGGAACGGGTAGGATTTAAATGTCAAGGTAACGCTTATCAGGTTGGATGGTGACTACCTGAACAGTTGCCATACCATCCTCTCCAATTTTATATATGCTTAAAATAATAGTTCTATATATGCTTAAAATAATTTCCACAGTGAAAAATACATATTGACTTAGTCCTACTTGAGTTTAACAGAGAAGATTCAAAATAGAGATCAGGATTAAAAATTAAAGCTAGCAACACTAGAAGTAATTGTCTTAGAGTCGCCTGTGAATCCTGCACGAGGCAGTTTAAGAAGTTGGGAAATGTGGATTTCCAGCAAATACCCTGCGGCTCTTGGTCAGTTTTTGTAAGATCCAGTTATTCTTTGGCTTGAGTCACTCATTCTGACCATTGCCCAATCAGAAGTTGGAAACCCTAACTCTTCCCTACACCTTCTGTGGATATATTTTTTCCCTTGGCGGTATAGACAATCAGAAAACAAAGAAACAAAAAAAAAAACCAAAAACACAACAACAACAACAACAAAACAGACTGGTTAGTGGGTGTTTCCACCTGTTTTCTGGTTTATTCGTCCCAATCAGTAATTCAGCAGAGTCTTTCCCTGCACTTTTCCCTGAGGTGGATAGAATGTATTTCATTTTGCCAATTTTATATAACTGAGAGACATGCAAACGGTTCTTGTTGTAAATGAACCAGGATGTTGTAAATGAACCTTTGCTCTTCCTTCTTTTCTATTCTTCCTGTTCTTTCCTCCTCCTCTTGCCCCTTCTTCCTTCCTCACCCTCCCTTCTTCCCTTTCTACCTTCCTCTCCTCTTCCCTCTTCTTCTCTTCCTTCTCTCTCTTTTCCTCCCTACCCTGACTCCTTCCTTTCATTGTTTTCTTGTTTTCTTCCTTTTTTCCTTTCCTCCCTTCATTCCTGTCTTCTTTCCTTCCTTCCTTCCTTCCTTCCTTCCTTCCTTCCTTTCCTTCCTTTCCTTTCTTTCTTACTCCCTTCCTTCCTTCCTTCCTTCCTTCCTTCCTTCCTTCCTTTCTTTCTTCCTTTCTTTCTTTGTTTCTTTCTTTCTTCCCAGCCCATCTTTACATCCTCATCATGATTGATTGACAATTCATTTCTTCCCTCCCCCAAGTCCTCAGAAGGAAAACGGCAATTTCATGTCTCTTTGTAACATTGTGTCATCCTTCTTCAGTGAGCATACCTCAGTGTGCTCTCTTTCTTTCTCTTTTGATCCCAATTTGTAGCACCTGTCTGATTTCCTCCTTAATCAGTGAAATAAGATGAGAAACAATACTGGCCTTGTATTTGCATGGAGTTGTGACCCTACATTTTTAAAGAATTGCCTGAATCAGCCAGTATCAATATATTATTTCCTTTCATATGAATTCACAGCTGAAAAACTAAAGTGGAGATTTGGGGAATGGTGGATGGGTCTATTTGCTAGTCAATCCATTGTTGCTTTTGAGTTATGGCTGCTGTGTTGCATGCATGCAGGTGGATAGACTTATCCTTTATTCTCAGGTGGTGTTCAGTAGAAGAGACAGGGCAATAGATATTATCTGTCAGCCCTGTCCTGACTACTATGAGCCAGACAGATAAATAGAAAGCATCGGTATCATTTGGTCCATGCTCCCTGACAGGGAGACGCTGGGGATGGTGGATGTTGACAATTAGAAACAGTTGGCTCAACTCACAAGCTCAAGGAAAGCTGCTTGGAAGAAAAACAACCTGGATTCATCCTCAAGGCAGGCCCAGTGTCTATGCTACAGGAAGAGCAAGAATGACCATGGTCAGAAGTGGGGAAAAACACATGGGAGGGGGGTGCCGGGCCCGTAGTGGGTCCCAGAACTGCTTGGGGGGGTCTGACATACACAAGAAAGTCCAAGGTCCCAGAGGCTGAAGCTTTGTTGGCGGCAGGCCCCAGAAGACAGTGGAGTCCGTGGGTTTAAGAGAAAGTCCAAGAAGTTTATTGTTCATGGTGTGGTAGTTGGATCTGGCTGTGCGCCCTCCCAAAAGTCAGGGGGAGCTGGCTTAAATAGGGAGTGGGAAGAAGAGGGACTAGGGAGGAATAGTTTAATTAGCTATGCCCCCCCCTTAGTTAACTCATGAATATGGAAGTCTGTTAGTCACACCCTCTACCTAGATGTTAGCAAACCTCTCTGGGAGGAGTTACTCTGAGCCAAAAGTGTCTGCAAGATGCAGGCTAATGGGGATTTAGGCTGCATGTGGGAACAGTCTGGAATCCGGGAGTGTGGGGAGATACAAGCCATCCCTCACCAAGCAACTGTTTGTCTGTTTGGTCTCCAGCTATCTCAAACCCAGTGCTCTACTGGGGAGACCAAACCATCCCTTCACGGCCCCACAGTCAGGGAGAGCTACATATGCAGGACTTAAGAATATGTAGTGGCCTCCTGATCTCCCATATATACTCCAACATATTCTTACTGTGTGATGTTTAACTATAACCTACTTATGTTTTCCTGATGCATACATACCCACAAGATGACTGTAAGCACCTTGGGGCAGAAATTATTTTCATCCTCTTCCTGGTTCTCTTCAGATTCACTGGGACCCAGCAAGTGTTTGTTGGACTTAAGTGATTTCAAATTATGTGGATTCTGGGTAAATAATAGTGGGCACAGATTTGGCCACACAGGCTCAGGGGGCAGACCAATGCAATTGTAACAATACAAACTTGATTGCTATTTCTTACATTGTTTTTGAATAAATGTTGCCGTCTGTGCTTTGGGGCTCATGAAAGTCTCTTCTGTTTCTTTGTAGAGTGAAGAATTCCACATTTATACTCAGTATTGCACCAACTACCCAAGGTATGGCTTCGAAAGGAGCAGGGCTTTTCTCCTGTATATATACTTGAATCATTAGATTCAGTTCTGAACACATGGAAAAAGCAAAAATTCTGAGGATCTCAGATATTGGTTGATGCCTTTGGACTGGCAGGCTCTGTGAAGCTAGGGCAGGGAAGAATTCATGAAAGACACTGAATAAGACCAGGAACATCACTGTATATCTGTAAGGGAAAATAGATATATCCACATTGTTACATTGGGCTAGCTGTTAGCCTTTTTTCTTTGTTCATGTGTGCCACATTTTGAAATGAGTTTTGTGTAGCCCAGTTGGGAGGAGAATTTGTTCTGATTTCAAAGCTTTTTGAGTTTTCCAAGTTTTATAAAGTTCAGAAAGGACAGATCATAAGAAGCCAGCATAAGAAAGGGGCGGGGGGGCTCCGGTCTCCCTGGGCTGTTGGCTCAGTTTTGCTTGTATCAAAGGTCAGGGGCAGGAGGACAGTTCAAGGATCAGCCTGAACACATACTGACCACTGGGTAAGAGCCGGAAGACAACTGGCTACAACTCTAGGCATTTCTTTGTTTTCTCCACAAGACATTTATTGGGCATTTGACTCTCGAACAGTATTGAAATCTATAAAAAACAAATGCTGAATTAAACATCCACAGTGATGGAGAGATTCTAAGGAATTAAAGGAACCACACCCCAGTGCCAGGAACCCAATACAGTCCCATCAAATGCAGTCCATTACCAGCTGTCCTAGTTAGGGTTTCCATTGCTGTGAACAGACACCATGACCAAAGCAACTCTTATAAAGGACAACATTGGGGCTGGCTTACAGGTTCAGTCTATTATCATCATGATTGGAAGCATGGCAGCCTGCAGGTAAACATGGTGCTGGAGGAGCTGAGAGTTCTAAATCTTGATCTGAAGGTACCCAGAAGATTGTCTTCCAGGCAGCTAGGAGAAAAGTATCAAAGCCCTCTCCCATACTTCCTCCAATAAGGCCACACCCACTCCAACAAGGCCACATCTGCTAATAGGACCACTCCCTGGGCCAAACATATTCAAACCATCACACTGACCCTTCCTTCTTCCCATCTTATGGATGACACTGCTAAGGGACCCATGACAAACTGATTTCACAAGGGTCCTGCAGCTGATGAATGGCACACTTAGGATATCAACCAAGTTGCTCCAGTCTCAGGCCACCCACTGCCATAATTTTATAATGTTTTGGAGCTTTATGTGAAGCCACGATCAGCAGGCTCTTACAACCCAGCCAGAAAGAGGGCTGGGGCTCTTGCACACTCCTAGTCAATGTTAGCAGAGGTGGTCTGCAAGAATGCAGTATACAGTGGAATCCTTGCCGCTGTTAAGGGAAGGATGGACAAACACCCCCAACCTCCAACACAGGAATAGTCTAGAAAGACTAGTATGTAGTAAGAAGCTTGAAGTTCAGAATTACTTAACAACTTCCATTATAATATTTTCCTGTAAACAGTTGTCAGGATGTGACACCATGATTATCCATTTGGATAGACAGCCATGCCTTTTCTGAGTTTCTCTTAAAAACACTCCCCCACACACACACACACATGCATATTCAGGCATTTGTCACAATCCTCATCTATAGACACAGCCATAGTTTGCAAGGTTACATTTAAGCATGTTCTTTTCTGATACAGTGTGAACTATAGGGATGCCCCAACTAAATCTCATGGTCCTTAATCCAAAACACCACAGAGCAGAGAAACCATAGAGTCAACTCACAGCCTTTCCATAAAAATTCTTCCCAAGCAAAAGGGAAGATGTTCAAATTGACAAATCAATAAGATTCTGGGTCTGGTGATCAGAGCGGCTGGCTTGGGAGGGTCTGTCTGTGTGCATTTCACCATGAATATATAATCCAAAGTCATCATGGCTGTTTTGGGATCCTGCGGAATCGAGCTCCGATGTGGAAGGATTGTTAAGAGCTTGTCATGCATGTGGCACTATCTCATGCTTAGTGCAGATCTGCAGGAATAGGAACCAACATTCCTACATTCAAGCATGCTTCGAAGAGCAGAACCCAACTGAATACATCATCAAAGTAGTATAATAGGGGAGATTAGATAACTAATTGGAATTAGCATGGAATGAACTTGGTGACGTGCAGTGGAAGCTAGACGCAAGATAATGAGAAATAACCCCAGTGGGGCTAGCTGAGGACAGTTCCCTGGAAAGTGTGTATTTTGATTTTGAATCTGACTTTAAGGCAACCCTTGTTAACAGAAGAATGCTTTTAATGAAGAAGGCATGCCCAGTAATTGCCCAGTGTGTGGCTTTAGTATCCACAAAGAAACAGTCCTATGCCTGACCCCAGGCACTTTGCTCTGACACTGAGATTCCATCTTCCCTGTCTTAGCAAGCCAAGAGTACTAAGATTCTTCTCCCCTCTTGAGAAGTGGGCTGGTGATTGTAAATGTGACCTGCTTGACTTCTTTCTTCCTGCTGGTCACACCCTAGTGATTTCACTGTGAAGAGGCACAGGTCCCGCCCTCCTTCCCCAAGGGACAGGCACAAAGGAGGTCAAGCCATTGTCTTCAGATTCCTATCCCATTTCTAAGATTTCCAGGAACCTAGAAACCCATGTGCTCTGATTTGTAGCAGATTCCAGTCTTGAGCAAGAACTTGGGCCACCAGTCAGCCACAAGGCTACTGAGAAGCTGCACCTAATACCAAAGAACTTCAGAGAAATGTCCATGTCACACTATGAAAGTTTCAAAAGCAGGAGTCAAGGAAGAAATACATCCATCTGAATGGGTATCTTCCAAAGCACATGCACAAGGGATTCTAACAGCTTAATTACAAGACTTTCACTTAATACCCTTCTAAGCAGTCTTAATTTGTTGTTTGGCTCTGTTTGATTGTCTCAATTAGTTTTGAAAATATAGCAAAGACATGGGGAAGAAAAGAATAAAATGATTCCTCCCTGCATCCAAGTTATACCACGTCAGCAAATTAGCACAGGTGTGTGATATTTGATCCTATTAGCTAGCTTGATATGGAAGGGATACAAATTGTTTTAACCATTGCTTTAAGATGCATAACTAACCTGGACCCCTGGGGGTTTCCAGAGACTAAACCACCAATCAGAAAATGAGCATGGGCTGGACCTAGGTCCCCTGCACATATGTAGCAGATATGCAGCTTGTTCTTCAACTGGAGCAGGGGCTATCCCTGAATTTGTTGCCTGCCTGCCTGAGGAGCCTGATCCCCTAACTGGGCCACCTTGTCTGGTCTCAGTGGGAGAGGACTCACCTAGTCCTGCAGTGACTTAACATGTGTGTGGCTGGGAGTGGGGACACGGGGGTCGGGGGGAGATGCCAAGGAGGAGCTCCCCCTTCTCAGAGGAGAAAATGAGGTATTGGAAGGAGGACTTGTGTGAGTGGGTACTAGAAAGTGAAGGAAGCTAATATTGGGATGTAAAGTAAATAAATAAATAATAAAAAAAGATGTATTACTTTAGGGGCTGCAGAAGGGACGCTAGCACCCTTTTTAAATGCCCTATGGTGAGACTATCAAAAATAATGAGGGGCACTGTTTAGAGTTTCTCTGAGAAACGTCACCTCTGGGAAAATCGACACAGTGTACCACTGTACAGTGGGTACACTTCATGAACCCTGGGGGCTGGGGGTGGACAAATGCCATGGTGGGAGGCCAAGTCTGTGCTACAAAGGAACTGTTTTGTCTTAATCCAGGGGTGCTGTGCCTTATAACCTGACTTGTAGGTACTGAATCCAGATGTGCAGGATGAGCATCTGGGTGGGGCACATGTAGGAGCTAAAATCCAATGCTTATCTCTTGCCACCTCCTGATGTGGGGCTGTGTGTCCTTGAAACCGAGCCCGTGTTTCTGAATCTCTGAATTCAGTTCCTTTTCCTAACTCAACCCATCCAAAGGACACCTTTTTAAAACTTGCCCCGAGGCGTCCTAACTAGCAGCTTGCTGAGTTTCAGTCAGGGAGCTAGTATCTAAATAGAGAGCACATTCATCTTCCCTCTCATTCCCGCTCATTTTAGGACATCTCCACTGAGTCTGACATTCAAACCTCAAACACCCACATGAAATACGGTATCATCATGAGGAAAAAACATGCACTTCTCTTACAGCTCTGTGGCCGTGCTAGCTGCATGCATGAGAAACAAGATACTCGCCAAGTTCTTCCGGGAGCGCCAGGAAACTCTGAAACACTCACTGCCCCTAGGGTCCTATCTCCTAAAACCAGTTCAGCGGATTCTCAAATATCATCTCCTTCTACATGTAAGTCTCGGCCTGTGCTAGAACATTTATCAAGGGATGGGGTTTGAGGGTATATGTATTAAATTGGGGGGAGGGAAACACCAGAAACTGCTGTGTTCATACGGAAACATTTTTTGCTTTACAACTGACTGATTTTCTATGAGGAATCAGAGATATGTGTATGCTGGGTCTCACAGCCCCATTGATGGCAGCCAAGATGAAAGGTTACTTTACACTTGGAAAATGACAGGGCTGAGGGATGACTTATGCTGGACAGGGTCAGTTTCAGGCAAGGAGCTAGCATCTAAATAAAGAGCACATTCATTTTCCTGTTCTATTTTAATTCCACGAGACCAAATTCAGCAGGCCACTGGGAGGGAAAACTGTCGTCGATTGGCAGCCATCAGAAGGAAGAGAGCGCTCAAGAGTGGTGGTCAGATGGTCAGGGACATGGAGGGTCCCTCAGTGGGGCTTGGCCTCATCTCTGGCTATTAACCTTTTCTAATGGCTTCTACATACTTTTATAAAACTCAAGGAGAGGGCTGGAGAGATGGCTCAGAGGTTGAGAGCACTGACTGCTCTGCGAGAGGTCCTGAGTTCAATTCCCAGCACCCACATGGTGGCTCACAACCCTCTGTAATGGGATCAGGTGTCGTCTTCTGGCATGCAGGGATACATGCAGGCAGAACATAATAAATAAATACATGTTTAAAAAAAATAAAAAACTCAGGGAGACTTTGGAAATAAGACTCACCTGGATGTCAGATTCCCCTTTCACATCCTCTAATGAAGTTTGTAAAGATGGGGAAAGTTTTTTATTAAAGATAATTTGTGGTTTGCTTAGCTTTGCAGTGGAGGCAGGACGGAACATAGAGCTTAAGGTTCAGAGCTCTGGCAAGTCTATCTGCCTCAGGATCCTATGGGCTCACTGCGGCTCATACCCACTTCAAACAAACAAACAAACAAACAAACAAACAAACAAACAAAATAGTGTTATTTTGTATAGCAGATTAAGAATCTTTCCCTAAAGGGATTTTAGAGGTAGAAGCAGAAGGATTGAGACTTAGGTTATCACCTTCAGCTAGACAGAGGGTTTGAGATCAACCTGTTCTACAAAAGACCATTCTTCAGCCAACCAACCAATCACTCAATAAGCAAATAAATAAATTTTTAAATAAAAGAATTTTAATCCAGAGCCCCATTTTATCAGCATGCCTGGTATCTCTGCCATACAGATACTAATCAGGCCCAACCCTGTCTCGCTTCCAAGATCAGACAAGATCTGGCATGTTGAGAGCAGTGTGACCATTGACTGTGTGTGGTGTCTCTTTTGAAATGATTCTAGGTTTCTAACTGGGGCAATCATTTCTGGTTTGCTGAGTTCATATGTGTAAAATTTTATCAAAAATTTGTCTGCTTGCTTAATTAGCTCATCCTTGGGAGAATCATCTGTCATCTTATGAAAGCACACTGGAAATAGCTCCTTAATTTTTAAGTTGATTCTAAGGATCTTCTAGATTTGGTGGGATAAGTTTCCTAAAATCAGTGTCCAGATAGTTGTGGAAAAAGGAACACCATCCCCAGAATACATCTCTCCAAAACTATGTTAATGTGACATATAAGATATTGTCTTCTAGAGAATCAGGTAGCCATCAATCAAGAAAAAAATCTAATATCTCAGCTCCTTCCAGGAATCAAGATCCTTAAAAAAACTCAGCTGATATTTTTATTTTGATATATATAATTTGATTTTTATAAATGACTTTTAATGGAGAGAAAGGAAAGAATGGAAACTGAACCAATCCCAAATTAACTTCTTGTTGCCTTTAAAGTATTTTTACTTTTACACGTAGCTTATTGTTCTAAGACATTTTAAAAGGTGAGCCCGAGAATTTAGAAAGAGAACGTAGATTCTGTCCCTCAGCCAAGCTTCCATCTAAACTTGAACATTCAATTTTTAGCAGTGTTACTATAAAGTTGTGGGATTAGTTCTCAGGATTATCCCCAAAGCTCCAATGTCTGCTCTTTAGATAATTAGGCATGACAGATGTCATGCATCTAATGACCCACCTCTTCTATAGGTAAAGTACTCTCTAGAATCTGCAGAGGATTGATTCCGGGTCCCTGCAAAAACTCTGTAGATGCTCAAATCCCTTATACAAAATAGCATAGGGTCCCATAATGAAACCTATTACAGTAGGTACTATGTTTTTAAAGATAATAAAATCAGAGACTTATTTGCAAATAACTTACCTCCTCTCCCTCATACATTAGGCTCTCAATAGCCTCTAGGTTCCTGAGGTTGTCTGATATGATGAGTGCTGTGTGTTCAGCTGTTGAGTTCCTTAGGGAATATGATCTCCATTGAGCTTGTGTAGGTTTATCGCTTCTTACGGTTGCTCCCAAAGAGAGAGGTATCTATAGACAGCTATCCTGAGGTAGATAAAACTGTTCTCAGTCTACCGTGGCTAACCCCATGGATGGGCAACCCATGGATATGGGAGCTTCCTGTACTTAGCTTCCATTTTTAAGAAGATATTGCTTCAAACTAGTAAGCACTTATTGAGGCTAGAGAGGTAGCTTAATGGTAGAACACTTTTCGGGCCCCAGATTTAGTCACCAGTACCAAAAAATAGGAAAAAGAATTTTCTGACACCGTTGGCCTGTTAGGCACAGTGGAGAAGATAAGAAAGCAAAAGTCTGGTGGTCTCTCTGTTTGGACTCTTCAGAAATCTGGGGCTTAGCAGCAATGAATAATTATAACATGGGTTGTATCCTCTCTTCTCTCCTTGGGATTTTGAAACTCCATGGTAAGAGGTATGGCCACACAAACTGCCCAGATAGCAGTCAGAGGATCGCTTCTTGAACCTTGTACTCTTTCAGCACTCTGAATGACTGTCAGAAAAGCTCCCCCTCTATCTTTTTCTCCCTCTCTCCATTCCTTCTTCTATCCCTCCCTCCTTCCCTCCCTTCCATCCCTCCCCTTCCCCTCTCTGGTGCTGAGTGCTGAGGATCAAATGCATATACATACTGAACACATACTCCATCACTGAGCTTTGACCAGAATGCCCCCTACATGGTTTTAAGTAATGTTTTTATATCTGTGTGGGTTTTGTTTATTTGGTTGGTTGATTGGTTGGTTGGTTGGTTGGTTGGTTGGCTGGTTGGTTGATTTGGTTGATTAGTTGGTTGTTTTTTTGAGGCAGTGTTTCTCTTAGTACATCTGGCTATCCTGGAACTTTCTCTGTAGACCATGCTGGCCTTGTACTCAGATCTGCCTGCCTCTGCCTCCCAAGTGCTGGGATTAAAGGCCTGCACCCCCACCATTGCCTGGCTAAGTAATGTATTTTTAAAAGATTTTTATCTTTGAGACTGATAACTATGTTATTGAATACTCTCTTATGCTGACCAGGACTGTAACTACAATATCTCCATGTGGCTTATTGCAGGCTTTGTACACTTTATACTGAGACTATAAGAAACTTTTATTATTCCTGCCCTTTTGTGATTTTTGTAGTATATTGTTATGGATAAACTTAAGGAATGATGGTGATATATAAATTGTGTGTGTGTGTGTGTGCATGAAACCAAACATAGAGAATCCATTTGCCTCACCGAGTGTATAAAAAAAATCTAATAACAGTTTATTTTTATTTTTTTGAAAGGAAATAGAGAATCACCTCGATAAGGAGACAGAAGGGTACGATGTTGTGCTGGACGCTATAGACACGATGCAGCGAGTGGCCTGGCACATCAATGACATGAAACGGAAGCATGAGCACGCTGTCCGCTTGCAGGTGAGCACACAGTCAGGCGACAGTACCAGGCAAGTGCTCTGACACGCTGCTGTTTTCCAATGTGTCAGATTACATATACTTCTCATACATTCAGGGCTGCATAAGTAATGCCTCTCATTTATGATCCTTACCACAGTTCTCCCTGAAGAGGAGTCAGGACGTGAACCATGCTGACCGTCTGTTAGACTAGCTACATGGGACAACTTTTATTATTTTTAAACTAATCATTTTTTTATAGCTCCTTTGATGAGTCTGATTAAATATGAGTCTCCTGGGGCTTTATTTTATGTCATTATAAATCAATAATTCTTGTTGAAAGCAATTTCCTCTAAACTAAGAACTTCTAAAACCCCTATTCTGTCTTATTAGTTTGTACGGAATGGTGGCATACAGTGTAAGGGCAGTCTTAGGGCAGGTGACTTAATTGGGAGGCTGGGGCAGCTCCTTTGTATTTCACTTGAGTGACAGCTTTATTAAAGCCCATCCAGCACCAATATGAACCTTAAATTCTCAGGACCCTTACTCCCCACTCAGGAACTTTTGATTATGTTCCAGCCTTCTCAAAAACAATGAACCACTGAAAAACAAGCGGTTGGATAGAGGGCTCTGGAGTTCGGAGCCCTTGCTGTTCTTACAGGGGACCCAGGTCCGTGTTGTAGCAACCACACAGATGGAGGCTCACAACTGTCCATAATTCTAGTTCCAGGGGATCTGATACTATCTTAGGGCTCCATGAGCACCCGGCTCACACGTGATGTACATAGGGAAACCGAGGCAGACAAGACACTCATACACAGAGAATAAAAATAAATCTTAAAAAGGGGGGGGGGGAGCATGTAGCCCAGCAGCTCATTCCAAACTTGTGACCCTACTAGTAAGACAGAAAGATGCAGAGAGAATCCACAGAGAGCTCCAGTCAGGAAAGGATGCACCTTTCTCCTCAAAGTCAGAAGAAAGTCTAGATTCACCTGTAAAACAACCAGAGTTTGCTGTGATGTCACTACCTGTCTCATTCTATTTCCCGGCAGTTTTGTTGTTGTTGTTGTTGTTGTTGTTGTTGTTGTTTTCTTCTAAGCATTAACAAAAAGTTTAACTGTTCAAGGGTTTTTTTTACAGATATAATATCAGACATGTTTTTTTATAGTCAAAAACGACCAAATGGCTAATTTTTCATGCTGTCTCGAGTTGTGTGACATTCTGAAGATCCCGTTAAATCAGACTCTGTCTCAAACTTTTACACCATTTACACCATTTCTATTTGTAGTCAACAAAAGGAATTTTGTTTGATTGATTTTCTGTTTGGTAGTAAGATGACCCCAGGAGCTTGCACAAACTCCACACTCTACCACTGAGCTCCACGCCCAGCTTCACAGTGAAGACTTTGACCATCTTGTGGCTTCTCTCAAGTGGTACTTGTGAATATCTTCAGTTTTCAAAGTCTTGAAGCCAGCTTCCTTAAAATTTTGATGTGCAACAAATCCTAAGGAGATGGTCAGTCATATCACTAATTCGTATTTTCTAAGTTCCACGGATAGCTCTAAAACAGTGGCAAAGGCATGTCCATTTCCTTTCTAGATAAATGAATTCAAAGTTGGGGAAAATCCTGTGGCTTTACATGGGCTTCATTGTTCAGTTATATATGTCGTGGGCTCAGTTTGTAGAAGAGTATCCTCACGTTGGACAATGGAAGTTTTTAATCCAAAGAGGAGAGACTGAGGTTGAGGAGGACTCCCATCTTAGATGGTGCCACACTGCTCACCACCCCATGAAGCTTTTGAAAGGTCTAGCTGCTGCTGCTGCCACCAGCCATGACACTGGACCATTCAGGGATGACAATAAGCAGCAGGCAATGCGGTATCTAAAAATTCAGTTCATTTTGGATAATCCTCGACGAATAGCCTCGCCCCAATAAACACAGATATGCCAGCCACCATCCCTGAGATCCAACAACGGGTCACTGAGTGTTCGATACCTTGTCATTTGCCTGGTGGTTAATTCTGAGAAATGTTTACCTTTCTTCAGGAGATCCAGAGCTTGCTAACTAACTGGAAGGGGCCGGACCTCACCAGTTATGGGGAGCTGGTGCTTGAGGGAACCTTCCGTATCCAGAGGGCCAAAAATGAGAGGACACTCTTTCTCCTGGACAAGCTGCTGCTCATCACAAAGAAGAGAGATGACACGTTTACACACAAAGCTCACATCCTGGTGGGTCCTCGTGGGGAGGCAGGCAAGGCCTGGCGGTGGCTGCTTGTGTTTCTTGTGTGCCTGATGCACTGTGTTCTCTGTCGCAGTGTGGCAACCTCATGTTTGTAGAAGTCATACCAAAAGACCCGCTCAGCTTCAGTGTCTTCGACTACAAGAATCCCAAGCTTCAGCACACGGTTCAGGTAACAGGCGGGCTGCTCCTAAGGTCCCCAAATGGGAGAGGTGTGCTGGACCCAGCCACCATCTCTAGGTTGCCTCATGTCTCGATATTTAAATCTCCCCTTGTAGGCCAAATCCCAGCAAGAAAAATGCCTCTGGATTCTGCACCTGAAGAGACTGATTCTGGAGAACCACCCAGCAAAGATCCCAGCTAAGGTAAGAGAGACAAGTCAGCTAGCACACCATAATGTAGAAAGGGCCAAGGCCCGAGCAAAGAGTGTGACAGGAAATAAGGCCTAGCTTCACAATGGAACCTGAGATCCCAGCACTCAGGAGTCGGAGTCAGGAGGATGGCCAAGTAAAACCCTGTCTGCAGTAAGACATTTCAGAGGTTACTATGACATACAGACAAAAGGGAGTCAAGGGCACCCACTAGAGATTTAGGGGAAAAGAAAAAAAAATACACACCATAAGGAAGCTTATAGAGGCTAGAAACTACTGGGAATCCCCACCCCCAGCCCCTGAGGAGCCCTCAGTCTCAGATGGCTGTGTTGGGTCCCACGGGAACAGTGGAGAAACCAAGCCCAGTTTGGCAACAAAGGCATTTACCAGCAGAGAGCCAGCTGCCCGCCTAACCCAGATCTGTTTGCCGGCTGGCCGTGGGGAAACAATGGTATTGAAAGCCAGGTGGCCTGGGGGCAGAAGGTCACAGTGTGCGGCTCTAGCCAGCAAGGTCTGGAAGGAAAATATCTCCTGCTTTCTTGAAGGATGAGGTATGTCCTTATGAAGTTGGGGAGTGGGGCGGGGCACATCCAGGCTGAGACAACAAAGTCACAAAAAACAGAAATGACACCCTGTTCACCAAACACCGCTGGTGTTGGGACAGGAAGGCCAGGAAATGAGGCAGGAATGCGGCTGGGGGGAAGTGGGAGGCACCTATGGAGCAGAACACAGGGCACAGATGCAAGACAGGTCACCCAGGCAAAGGGGACAGATGTCACCCTCTGAGATTGTGCTTGAGTTCCAGGAAGAGCTGGGGTTGGGAGTTAGCCAGACCGGCTCACTGAAGTGGCCTAACCGGTTAGATGGGCCCAGAGGAGCATCTGGCGGAGTGAATGGAGGTGGAAATTCAGGTTCGGGCAGCCCAGGATTAGGAGTGGCAGTGATTGAGGCCCGATGGCTTGACTGGACAGCCCACAGGAATGTATAAAGGAAACAAGGTTCCCCTGCTCTGAGGAGAGGGGGAGAGGGTAATAAGGGGAGGGATTTGTAATGGCGGGAAAGGAGGGAGAAGAAGGGCTTCAATCAAGATGTAAAGTGAATTTAAAATAAAATTATTGGAAAAAAAAGACAAGAAGGAGTCTTGGGAATCCCAGCAAGACACCTGCTGGTGGAAGAGCGCTTGGAAGACCAGAGAGAATAGTAGGAACACAGTAAAGAACAGGAGGGGACAGCCAATGAGGGAGGAGGGGTCAGCAGAAGAGCCTCAGCTTTGAGAGGGCAAAACAGATGCAGAGTGTGGGTTTGACAACGGAGATATTTGTAATGGGCTGAAAGAAATTAAAGAACAGGCTGCTGCAGACTTTTTTCCCCCCACAAAGTTCAAAAAGGTTCAGTTTAGAGAACAATTCATCAAAGCAAGGCCCACTATCTGCGTGAAAAACCAGTGTAGGTTTCTGAGCTGTCTGTCTGGGGAGACTAGGAGGCAAGAAGGGCTGTTTGTCAGGGGAGGCAGAAGGAATGGGGCCCAGAAGCACAGGGATGGTAGAGGGTAGCTAGCCTTGGAAAGAGTCTGGCAGGGAGCACTGAGGGGAATTGGGAACTCATGAAGGGTCAGAGACACTGCTGTGAGTGATGATGCAGGAATAGGGTTGTCCTTGAAAGTGGAGTGGGTCAGATTCCACGCAAAGGAAGATGATCCTGTCACTGGAGGTGACTCAGGTCCTTTCTGGAAGACGCCAAAGACCCGCCTGGGGCTGCTGCATGAATCAGTTTGATGGCGTCATAATAAACCACTTAGCAACCTGGAAACTGCCCTAAGGAAGTATGGCACCCAGGAGTTCCTCAGTGGGGAGGGGCAGGTGGAGCTGGGGAACAGAAGGGTCCTGCGAACAGAGAACAGCAGTGCACACTCATGAGCCTGTAGCTGCAGTGACTATGACTCCAGGCTGAGCAGGAAAAAAGAGACTTCTAGTCTGTGGTCAGCTGATTCAGCGGGAAATATGAAATCTATACTTGAAGACGGACCCTGGTATCCTACCTGGGAAGCAGGGCAATTCTTGTGTGTTCATGCTCTGGGATGGCCTTATTACCATGTTGCTGTTGTGGAGTAGAGGAGACAGTTATTAGAAATAAAGTAGCAAAAGACTAAAGTGGAGTGTGAGTGGCCATCTATGAGGATAGTGGGATGTCTGTGATGAGACCAGGAGGAGAGAAGTAGAAGAGGAAGTGGCATCAGTGTCATAAGAGTAGTACTGATGGGGAAAATCAGAAGGAATTCTAGGAAAGGAGAAATTTGCCTTTGTTTGGTGGTTGGTTGGTTGGTTGGATGGATAGATGGTTGGATCATTGATGGTTGGATGGATGGTTGGTTGGTTGGTTGGTTGGTTGGTTGGTTGAGACAGGGTCTCACTATATAACCCAGGCAAGCTTTGAACTTGGAATCCCCCTGCTTTGGCCTCCTGAGTACTGAAATCACATGTATATCCAGTATGCCCAGCTTGCCTTCTACATGTTTTGAAAAGATTTCCAGGCTGTCCTCTAGGGTCTGTGCCAGTCATGGCTTTATGTTTAGGAAATGAATATGCAGAGAGGTGTGTGCTCGAGTATGAGTTTTACTTTATCAACAGTGGTCCAAACCCAGGGAGCTCATGCAGAACAGTGATCACCTTCTTCCATGGATACTCAGAGGCAATACCCTTCTGCATGATGGCCCCACCTACTGTTCACAAGAATCCTGGGAAAATCAAATTGCTTAACAAGATTCTGAAAGGCAATTATAGTCAATTACCAAACAAGACAGCTCACCTGCCTGCCTGTCTGCTCCCTTCCGTTCTGCGTATTCTTGATGGCTTTCCCTTGATGCTTAAAACAATTAATACAGCCACAATAAAATTATTCTTTTCGCTCTAGGTATTAGTCCATTTAGAATCTAAAATGGATTTTAATTTATAACTTATTGATATATTAACACATATACATTGCAATAAGCATACTGTATTCTTAGTTCACGCTCAGTAAAATATCTCAGAGATGGGTCGTGTTCTTCCTCTGATAGAGAAATAAAATCAGGAGTTCAGAAACAGGAAGTAAATTATCCACGTTTACAAGTGCATGGCCTAATTCATATTCAAACCCAACCATCTGGCTTCAAGGAGCCTCTAAACCATATTTCTTCTACTAGAAATGAAGACAAACTTTCTTAATATACTTTATCTGTTATAATGTTAAAAATAATTCTTTGCTCTATTTAGGTAGGGCTATTAAATGAAGGGAATTTTTAAAAGATCTTTCATCAAGACTATTCAGTTGTTTTCTTAAGGCTTTCCAAATGTATTTATTTCTATGAAATCAAACAAATGTCTAATGGGACATTTTAAACAAGATGTGTATACCCCATCTTCTATGTCAGCACAGTGGCTGAGTCAATGAATTCTGCCAGCCTCCACCCAGACCTCTACCTCCCTGGTGGTCCTTGGCTGACACCTAGTGGACAACATGGAAAGAATTCTTTTCTGAAATAATTTACAAGACTTAAGGGGATTAAGCCTTCTTATGGAATAGCTTTGTTAAAGGAATTTCTTGGAACTTGTCATATGCCCCACTTATATATATAGTGTGTAAACTGAACCAAATTAATTGAGCATAAAGATGAAGTGATTTTATGTGTTAAATATTAAAATGGAACTAGAAAGCCACTTTCCAGAGATTAAGTTGTCATTTGAGTTTGAAATTAACTCCAGCGATAACCACAGTATAAAATAGGAAGATAAGCATACGAACTAGGCAACTATTTTTCTCAAAATTAAAGTGACTGTTAATGGTTTTTGTTTCCTGTCTGCGCCTCCATTTTTAATTTTTTTTAATTAAGTGTGATTACCATTCAGCCCAGATCGTTTTGCATGATGTCACAGATTGCAGCAACTTAGAAACAAAATCATTTTAGTTAATATAATATAGTGTATGTAGATTAAATTGGCTTACCCTTGGGGAAAATGTAAACAGCATGAAGAAACATCACCTCAACTGATCTTCTCCCTAAATCAGTTGATAAAATGATGGGTTAAGACAACCTATTTAGGCGGATTTCTGAGTTTGAGAGTTCAAGGCTAGCCTGATCTACAGAGTGAGTTCCAGGACAGTCAGGGCTACACAGAGAAACCCTGTCTCGAAAAAAACACACACACACAAAAAAAGACAACCTGTCTATTTCTAAGCATTAGCGACAAACCTCAAAGCATTCTGGGTAGAAGTGCTAAGTGTGTGGAGAAAGGAAGCCTCAAGACATAAGACATCAGGCTCTATTTCCCAGAAGGGCAGAGACGGGTTATACCAGTACCTGTGCCTATCAGTTGATCCTAATGGCACTGGGAAAGATAGGTCCTGCATCCCAAGAGGGGACAGAGCTGCCCCACAGGTTGCTCTTGGACACAAGGGATCGAACTGCAACTGTACATAGTGTGTTCAGAGTTGGTTTTGGTTTTGATTTTACTCGCCTAAACAATACAGTATAAAACTATCTATAAGGCCTTTACCTGTTGGGTATTATAAGTAATCTAGAGCCAATTTAAAGTTTATAGGAAGACATGTACAAGCTCTGTATAAATGCTGTATCTCTCTATAAAAGACTTGGGTGTAGCCGCCTGCAGCCATGAATCAACTGGGTTCACCTGAAAGGGGGCTGCGAACGAAAGGTGGACGGAGGGCAAAAAGAGATGAAGCCAAGACAAAGTTCTCTGACCAAGGCTCGATGCTTTAATATTCAGCTCTCAATTTAAAGGGAAAGACCCCGCCTGAACCCTTCCTAGTTTCAGCCGGAGATGTGTGGGATAATCCCTTCTTGGTCACAGTCATGGCCCGAGATATCTCAAGGCAAGCCCAGGGGCAGTTCTTCTTCTAAGTTCCATGCAGCCAAGGTGGGAAACTCCACCTAGATCCTATCACGTGGTCTGTTGTGGTAAACAAGGTCTCTCAGGCCTGCTGGGGGTCGGGGGAAGGGCACACTTGGGTATCACTGTCTTGTTCTCGCCTCATCTCTGTTGCTGTGATACCCTGACGAAAGAAGCAGCTTGGGGAGGACAGGTTTATTTCAGCTCACAGTTCTGGTTACATTCCATCATAACAGGAACATCAAGGCGAGAACTTGAAGCCACTAGTCACATTCTATCCAAAGTCCAGAGCAGAGAGAAATTAATCCCTGTGGGCTACTACTGAGCTCACTGTCTCTGGTGTAATCTAGGACATAGCCTCAGGGCTGTGACCCACACCAACTGGTCTTCCCATACCAATTAAAAAAATTAAGATACTCCCCCCACACACACCCCAGATACACCAACAGGCCAACTTGATCTATGCCAGACATTCTCAACCTATAAGCCAAGACCCTTTGGGGGTCAAATAACCCTTTCAGGGAGAGGTCACAGATCAGATATCCTGCATATCAGATATTTACAATATGATTCTTAACAGTAGCAAAATTATAGCTATGAAGTCGAAACAAAAATAATTTTATGGTTGGGGGTCACCACAGCATGAGGGACTGCATTAAAGGGTCACAGCATCAGGGAGCCTTTTGTTGAGATTCTCTTCCCAAGTGAGACTAAATTGTGTTCAAATTGACAGTTAAAACTAGCCATCACGTCTTTGCTGTTCTGTACCAAGTGGACGGCATGTGCTAATTCTCATCAGGGTAATCTTTGAATCTCCTCAACTATGTATTAACGCCTAAAAGAAATAATGAGGGATTTGTTTTTCTAAAATCTATTTACTTAGGTATGATAAGATCTCTGTCACACTTGCTCATTTAAAAAAGAAATGGGAGGAAAAAAATTAATATTCTCTACATTTTCTCTGTCTCAGGCCAAGCAGGCTCTTCTTGAAATGGACGCCATCCGTAAGTTTGTTGTTGTTTTGTGTTGTTGTTGTCTCCTTAGCATTCTTTGAGATAGTGTTGTTCATTTGTGACCATTCCATTCTCTGTCTCAAAGCTTGTACGTTGTCATTTATAAGACGCTAGCAGTAGTTTACTCCACCTCAGCAGCCTGAGCCGCTGACCATCCCTTCCTAAGATTCTCGTTCATTCCTGCTTTGATTCTCTGGTTTACCTGTGAGGCACTGGATGACTAAGCTACACTTCCGGGTTTCTGCAGATCCTAATGCTGTCAGTGCTGCCTCCATGAAGGACTGGGCACTACAACGTACAATGCATTATCCCTTTACCCACCCATTTAAAAAAAAAAAAAGTCCCTTTTGATTATTTACAAGAACTGCTAACACTTGGGAATTGCTGGGGTTTTTAGTGTAGAACAAAATTCTGAAAACGCCACACGGTCACCATCCCCTCACTTGCTCCTCTGGTTCTCTTGGTAGACCATCCAGGCTTCTGTTACCGTCCTGAGGGAGAGATGAAGACACCATGTGGTTCTGCACCACATCGGCTAAGACGGAAGTCAGGTAAGCAGAATGTTGTCGTCGAACTGTAATGCCGAGAGGGACAGGAATGAATAGAATACTCTCTAAGCAATAAGCATTTTCTGGCTGCTTGTTGTTTGAATACAACTAAGGCTACCTTTAAAAAGATAACAAAACAAAAACAAAACAAAAAACCCTCTCTTATCTTTTCTTTAAAACACCTCTCTACTTAACCCTCTTGGTGAATATAAAATATGTCAACCAGCCAGGTTTGATGGCTCATGCCTTTTGTCCCAGGCAGAGTCAGGCAGATCTCAATGAACTGGATGCCAGTCTGATACTATAGCAAGTTCTGGGCCAGACAGAGCTCCATAGTGAGACTCTGTCTCAGATAGATAGATAGATAGATAGATAGATAGATAGATAGATAGATAGATAGATAGATGCTTGCTTGCTTGCTTGCTTTATATAGCACCTTACCATTGACAAATTCACCCTTAAGCTCTGTTTGCAGTTGCTGGTGGAAAGTATACCTTGTGAATGACACACACAGCGTATTCAAGCCTACCATTTTGATATGTGTTTGCTAAATCAGATGTCATATAATCTCTTAACTCTCAGATTTTGGTTTTCTATGATGTTTTCTAAGCCCACTTTCCCCTTTACTATAGGCAGGGAATGAAAGGGTAGACAATGCCTAAGATTTCTGCTTTTAAGACCCTCTCTGTGAGGGAAACAAAAAAAATTTTTTTTAAGGAATAAATAAACAACAGCCTCTTTGATAAAGCTTTGGCCCGTGTGGATGGAAAAGAGAGTAGAAAGACACAGAAGAGAGATTCCAGGAAGAAGAAAGACTTCACAGAGGCTGATGCCCTTGATGGAATGTGAGGCTGAGGCAGATAGAGCTGGGATCATCCATGCACAGCCCTAGGACTTGAGCCAGCAGCCCTCAGGACAGACAGGTCACACCAGCAGCTCTGCCTGGCTGGATGTAGTAGCTGAGGTGGAAGAGGATGAGGCACAGTAGGAGGCTGAGAATAGGGGGCTGCAGATAGGCGCCTCAGGAGGCCTTGCACAATCGTGAACACAGCAAGGCGAAGGAGACCCCAGCACAGCAGCCATGCTAGTCTGGAGAAAGTGACAAAGGCCTGGAAGCAGACGGGTGACTTACATCAGGCTTAGGGATGCAGAATGGTAACTCTTTGTCAGCGCGTTAAAAGCTTTTTGGAGTGGGGCAGAGCTTGGGGCGGGGTGGGGCTTGGGGCGTGGCCAGAGAAACTGAGAATGGCGTCGTGGTCACTAGCTTGATAAACTGACAGCAAATACAGGTGAAAGTTCAGGAGGAAGAAGTGAGCTGTAATTGAGAAGAGCGAGTTGGTAGTATCCAAAACATGAGTAAGCTGTACAGCCTAGAACATAAAATCGACGGTTACCAGCTGAGAGGCTACAGTGGGAGCCGAGGGAGTCCTTCCGGTGTTTGGTGGATTGGTACAGTAGCACCTGCTCTTTCCTTCTGTAACTCCTGACCCTTTAGAGTTTATCCAACCACCTCAGCAGGGTGAATGGCTGGTACCTGAGTATCCCTGACCACTGAGAATTTGGATAAATTAAACAGAGCGTTTCTACAGCTCAGGGCTGGGAATGTTGCCTCATTGATAGCGTGCTTGCCTAATAGGCACAAAGCCCTGGGCTCCTTCCCCAGCTCTACATAAATGGGGCTCGTGCCTGTAATCTTCGGGTCTGTAATCTCTGCACTCAGGAAATGGAGCTTTGGGAGTTCAAGGTCACCCTCAGCTACTTAGCAAGTTCAAGGTCCGCCTGAGGTGCGTGAGAGCTTGTCTAAAACAAAGGGACCATTTCTAGAGCTCTTAAAATGTCAATAAGCTACTTAATTTATTTATGAGGAGAAATATTGATTTGCAAATCACGGTGGCTTTGCTCTGTCCTCAGAACCTTCCTCAAGATCACACAAAGTGTTGAAGACCAGTGGTAAGTCCAAAAATAGAGTTACATTTTTCACTCTTGTTGATTCTTAGACAAAGCCTAACAGAAGAAACTTGTGTGTTAGGTGCATTGTAAATTGGTGGATTTGTTAGCCCGACTGCAGAAAGATGAAATATTTCTATAAGCAAAAGTATCTTGTTGCAAACAGCCAATTGATACAATCTGATCTGACAGACATAAAGTTACCATCTATCAGAAAAAAAGAAATACTATCAACAAAACAAGAGGAAAAGACCCTTAAATGTGTGTGTGCAATAAATAAATTCAATATATGTCTCCACATACATATGCCCCAGCTTCACAGAAGAAACAAAGTGCCAATAAATTTTCAAGTTTACAAAGTCATCTGCATAGTACTTACAAAAACTATTCGTTTAAATGAGAGAAATGGAGACAGGAAACTGTGAATTTGACTGAACGATACTGCAAAACTCTTAGGGGGAGGGTGAATTTTTATAGCTTTCCTAAGCAAAATTTAGTAATTCTCATGTAAGGTTCAAGTGGGCATTTGACCTTGACTCAATAATTTGACCTCTAGGCCCATATAGATGTGTCAACACATATGACCAGAACCCTGCCTGGACTGCTCACAAGTCGGGAGGGGGACTTCACAAGGGGCTGGGCCTTGGTATGGTGGAGGTCAAGTCTCATTCCGTGTGCTCAGAGCACCTGGTACCACTCCTGTGTTCCTCCTGGTGTAGAATATTAACTGCAGAAACAATCACAACTCCTGAATAGACCACCATGCACTATGTGCTGGCCATCCTCCGCTTCATAGCAAGTTCAAGGCTAGCCTGAGGTACACTAGACCCTGCCTAAAAACAAAAAGAAAGAACATCTCTTTTTCTTTTTATATAATTGAAACTGTCTAGCTCTTTCTAATTTTATGTGCATTGGTGTATGCCTTCATGAATCTCTGTGTGAAGGTGTTAGAACCACTTGAATAGAGTTACAGACAGTTATGAACTGCCATGTGGGTGGTAGGAATCGAACCCAGATCCTTGGGAGAGTAACCAATGCTCTGAACCACGAGCCATCTCTTCAGCGCCCTCTAGAGCTCTTAAGATGTCAGTAAGCTAATAGTTCTTTACAAGGAACAAACTTGATTTGGGTTTTTGCAACAGTTTAATAGCACAGCATAAAATGTCTATCTAGTAGGAGTTGGTCTGTTCATACTTATGATAGAACGTTCTGCTGTTGAACAAAAGAAAGTCAGTCTCTAGATACTAACAAATGCAGATAGATGTAGCAGAAAATACTCAGGTGTATTGCATCTTTATTTTAAAACAAACAGAGCAACTGTGCCTTGCAGTAAGGTGGGAGACAGTAGTTGTGGCATCCAGAAAGGTAGACACTATGCTGAATTGTGTCGCTATAGAAATGGTTCTCCACCTGTGGGTCACGACCCTCTGGCCTCCCTCTCTCTCCAAAAGATATTTATATTACTCTTCAGAACACTTGCAAAATTACAGTTATGAAGTAGCAATGAAAACAATTTTATGGTTGTGAGGGTCATCACAACATGAGGAACTGTGTTAAAGAGTCACAGCATTAGGAAGGTGGAGGACTTCTGCTCTAGGTGGGGAATTTGTGGGGAGAGAAGTCTTTTATAAGTTTACAGAACTAAACAACTTTTAAAGGTGGACTTTGTATCATCAGGGTATCCATAAGATACCGGCATAAACCCCTCTCAGTGACAGAGCCAAGGAGACCGTATGGATAAAGACTTCACCTTCATTTATAACTCCCCCACTGTCTACAAACCAACGAAAGCTTCCCTGTGTCTACAGGGGACTCCCATGGCCTATGGCATGGGTGTTCTTTTTCATGTTTTTGTTGGAAAGTTTGGAGACCTATTTACCATGAACTGTTGCTCTCAGGGACACAGAAGACAGCTTTGGCTCATAACATAAAGTGGTCCTGCTGTGGAAAAGGATGCAGAGCAGATACGTGAGGGACATTTTTGAAAACTGGACCCAAAAGGCTCAAAGCTCTTAAGTGTCAATTATTAGCAATATATATACAAGCCACATAAAAACCATGAGTGCTTACCTATATATGAGATAAACTTTAAATCCTCAAACTTAAAACATTTTTGTTTATTTTTCAGAAACTGCACAAGATATCCAGAAGGTAAGCACGGCCGTGTTTCTTCTAAAGGGCTTGCAGTGGGTGCCTTCCATCTCCGCGTCCATCCTTATTGGTTTCATCCCCAGCCTGAAGTGTCAACATTCACTTTCCATTGTGACATTCTTATTCAATTTGCATTTCTAGCTATTTATACTTGATTTAAGGGAAGACTAATTCTTCTCAGCCTGTTCTTTCCCATTACATCCCTCTCAATTCAGCCGATTCTACCCATCTAATCCTGTGGCTCACCCCTCTCCTTAGAAGCTGTGCTTGCCCTTGGGAAGTATCCCTTGTGTAAAGCCAGCATGCTCAGTCTCGCACTGCCCAGCACCTCTGTTCTTGTTAAAGCCAGCCCCCGACCTCCTAGGTATAGCTCCCTTCCCAAAGCACTGACTCGGGTAAGCTCTTGAAGACCATGGTCCTAAGGCAGGTACAGTAGCACCCAAAGTCCTGCTACTTGGGAAGTAGAGCCAAGAGGAGTGCATGAATTCAGGAGTTTAAGATCAGCCTGGGCAGTATACTGAAACCCATCTTTTAAAAACAAACAAACAAACAAAAATACAGCTACTGATATAGCAGGTATGATGAGTGAAATACAATGAAACTTTGCTACGCCAAGTTAGATCAAAGCAGGGATGTGTTCCTCTGACAAAAGATTAGGAGATGGAAAACGCTTGCTAGTAGAGCTGCACTGGCAACCTAGCATGTCTGAAGTGCTGACTTAAAAGCTCACCAGTAGAGCCGAAAAGATGGCTCAGAGGTTCAGAGGTTACGTGATCTTCCAGAGGTCCTGAGTTCAATTTCCAACAACCACATGGTGATTATCGACAATGAGATCTGGAGCCCTCTTCTGGCATGCAGGCATACATGCAGGTAGAGCATTGTATACATAATAAATCTTTTTTTAAAAAAAAATCTCATCACTAAAGAAAAAGAAAATAGTTTTGTCCTATTGAAAGTTGTGTGCCAAGATTTGTTACCTGGAAAGAGGAACTGCTAGTATCCTGACTTGAGTGGCCACGGATGAACTGTCTTAATGTCAAATAATTCCTAGAGTATTTCTTGTAGTTTCTCATGTAAAGGCTAAGGATCTGTCTTCCTTATCCATAAGGATGTGGTCCTGGCAATCTCTCCCCCAAATCCCATTTATATTATGGTTTAGCCCAAGGACAGAGTAAGCTTGTTTATAAAGGCTGTATCCTGATTTTAAAAACCCTAGCATTTGGAAGACAGAGGCAGGAGGATATCAATGAGTTCAAGTCCACCCTGGCCTACAAAGTGCATTCCAGGCCAGCCAGGACTACACACTGAGACCCTGTCTCAAAAATAAAAACAGAAGCAAAAACAAAACAAAAAAAAACAACTTCAAGATGTCTAAAAATCATCTTCGACTTGTAAGGTGATTTCAGAAGCTCTAAAATGGACTCATGGTTTTTTTCAGATACTATTGGTTTTCATTTGGAAACATTTGAAACTTTGTAACTTGATTGATTCATCATTGTAAACCCTATTTTCTGATCTCGGCTTAACTTGGGTCACTGAAGAAGGTACCCTTGAGCCAAGCCTCTCTCAGTACCTAAGGAAATGCTAAAAGTTAAGCTTTTCTGTCTTAGAAACCTTTCCAATAACGCTCGACAAAGTCCACCCAGGAAAAGTCCACTTAGGAACTACTACACAATATGAGGACAAAAGCAATCAAGGAAAAACAAAACAAAACCCACTAGTGTGTTACTTAAGTAGCAAAATTCCATCTCCTAACAACAGTGTGCTGAATGTATCCTAAGTATAAGAACAGACTGACTTGTTGCTTAATAACAGTTGGGTGTTTTTTCCAGGATATATATCCTGGACCCTTCATCCTGTCTATAGTGACTGAGCTCATACATAAGCTGGGGTTAAAACCTGAATTCAAATGTATTTCTACCATCTGTGAACATCTCTTGCTAGCTACTTAACATTAGCAGGACCTAGCTTTCTACTTTATAAAATTATTATCAAGGTTTACTATGATTAATATAATTTTTAAAGATGCTTAATACAATATTTGGTAAAAGGCAAATGTACCTAACATAAATGATAGTTGTTATCAAATTAATAAACACTCAAAGTAGACATTGTGGAAAAGCAGAGAAAAAAAAATCACCTTAGTCTTGGTCCTGGTAACCATTTCTGACTTATATACTTCTAAGCTGTGACCAACAAGACATTTATTATTTCTTAATCTTAGAAATTCATCAGGTCTCCAAATGACATACTGGACACAATGTTTCAGCTTCAAAAAATATTGCCGCCATCATTCATTTTAGGTGTTTTTAATATACATATTAACAGCTCAGGTTTCCTAGTTTCCCATAGGGTCTGGGACTTCCTGGGATGGACCAGCTCCAGGGTCATTTTTGGTGCAAAAAAACAAAGTGATCTTGTTAGGCCTTCAAAGGCTGTCCTAACCCATTGAGTGAATATTAACTCAGCTTTATTATAAGTAGCGCCTAGGTGCCTGTCTTTTACAAGCATTATCTCAGAGAATTGAAGGAAACAGAAAAGATGTTAAAATATTGGATAAAAAAGATTTATAAAGGCAATAAAATGATAGACAAATATTTTATGTATAAGTATAAAATTGTACTTTAAAAGATTAAGTGATTAATTAATTTTTAAACGATTAGTTTTGCATTCTAAAGTTTTAATAGAAAAACACTAGGTGAAGTTTTACTTCTGTGCTTTCTACTCCTTCCTTTCCTGTTGTGGTTTCTACTACTGTGGACTGACAAGCGATAACCAATTCTTGCTAACCTGATGTTTCCAATCGGTTACTCGTGGTGCTTTAGTCAGGGAAACGTGTCTCTCCATGGTCCTATTTAGTTTGAACAAGCCATAACTACTTCAGCTCCTTGGAGCTAGTTCTTCTGTGTATAGAATAGTATCGAGGCAATATCTGCTCCTGTCTGCAGCTCCCATTATAAGACCCCCGGCCAGTCTATTCTCCTCATACATTGTTATCTTCAGGAGATGGAGCTTTTAGGATACATTTAGGATTTCAGATACATTTTGCATTTAGGATACATTTGGCATGTTGCTCTCATTAGGAGATGGGATTTTTCTAGGTGGCCAGTCTCCATCAAGAAAGACTGTAACTAACAAAACATTCTCCTGTTTTCTTTGATTAGAAACCATGATTGTCTGGATTTTTACTTCCAAACAGATAACTAAGTATTAATTAAATATATTTTTAAAACAAACATTAAAATACTATAATCTCAGCCAGTTCAACTCCTATAATAAAGCCTCCTGGCCTGCTACCTATAAATCATGGTCAGGTTCACAGTGAGCCTTCAAGTTTAAGGAAGCCATTGGAATATGTCATCAAGTTACCAGGAGAGGCTCTTGATAGGACCAGAAATTATGAAAGGCTCTCAGGAGAAAGGCATTGAAATGAAAACTCTCTAAAGTCTTGTACGCAACCAAGTGTTAAGGCGTGGGCCCCAGTGCATACTCATTTACACAGTGAATATCTAGCACATTTGGTAGATATTTGCTTATATCCTATTTGGGAGCAAAGCATTTGGAGTCAGGTAGACTTAAGCTCTAGCCTTACTATTAACTAAGAAGGGAAAGTTACGTCGGAATGGGTATGGCCCTCATGCCTCACTGGACAACGACAGGGGGACCGGAGCCATTACAAGGTCCCCTTCAATTACTGGAGGTCAGTCCTCTATCCCCGCCTTCGCAAGGTTAGAATCACCACAGCCCTTCTATATTTAGAGAAGGGAGGAGATGTCAGGGGCATCCCTGCTTACACACTGAAGGCCTAAAATCAGCCATAGGCCTAAAATCAGCAATAGGCCTGTCATACATGTATACTAACACCAAGTCTTGGGTCTCTGTGGAAAAACATTGAAACAGATGGCTATAAGCTATTGTAAACAGGCAGCTTTTGTGGAAATTTACCAGCCTGAGTGTCATAGACCTTGTAAATAGGTAGCCTTGATGGATAATCCCAACTTAGATAAGGACAAGTGAATCATTTGCAGAGTCACAGTGACCTGTCCCCTGAACCTTCACCCAGCCGATACCCTGTTCTGAAAGATATCTGTATTCCCCCTGAACACCCACGCTCCAGTGTCATCCCCTTCCCCACAGCCTACCTTTTTGTGTTTATAACCCCTGTGTGAATAAGTAAAAATTACAATTTGATTTTTAAAAAAATAAATAAAAATTTAAAAAACAGAAAATAAAAAAAAGAAAGAAAAAAAAAAGAAGGGAAAGTTACTAGTTTGCAGCCTGGGTTTCCTCAATATACTACTAATATAACTGTATCCTGACCATGAAAACTAACTACAGAAGACATCTATCTGCAGATTGCCTATAGTCCAGTGTTTAAGTAAATATCCCTGCCCTTTCCTCCCTTTTTCAAACACTCTAAAGTGTTCTTCAAGTCAGTGAAAACCAACAATGTCCATTGATCATTTTCTTTAAGAATGTGGCTATCTGGCTTCACAGGTGACATTCCCCAGTGATCATTTTCTTTAAGAATGTGGCTATCTGGCTTCACAGGTGACATTCCCCAGTCACATCTCTTCTTTATGGTGCAATCATTCAATCAGTATGTGTCTCTCTTCTTCAGGTTTCTAGAGAGGAGAGCTCTTCCCAGCTGACTTCTGTCATACCTGCCCAGAGGAACCGCCAGCCCAGCAGTGCTGCAGTTATCAATATGCTTCGTGGAGGAGGCGGTGTTAGAAGCCTGTGGACAGATCACCACATCCGACAGCCTTTGTTTCCAAACCGCCGATCTCCACAGGAGAATGAGGACGACGATGATGATTATCAGATGTTCGTCCCATCCTTTTCTTCCTCGGATCTCAACTCCACCAGGTTGTGTGAAGAGAATGCTTCAAGTCGCCCTTGCAGCTGGCATCTGGGACTGATTGAGCCCACAGAGATCTCTAGCTCTGGTCACAGGATTGTCCGACGGGCCAGTAGTGCAGGTGAAAGCAACGCATGTCCTCCTGAAGTAAGAATTAGGGACAGTGTACTGTCTCAGTATTGTCCTGGGAGAGAGCTACAGAACAGTCCTCAACCAGGAGGAGAGGGAGGGATGACTCCCTTTGGGTCATCTGTAGAGTTGACTATTGACGATATAGACCATGTCTATGATAACATAAGTTTTGAAGACTTAAAGTTAATGGTTGCTAAGCGGGATGAAACTGAATGTTCTTTCTCCAAATCATCCAGAGACTCTGTTCGCCCCAAGAGCACCCCAGAGTTAGCCTTTTCAAAGAGACAGGTTAGCCACAGTACAAGCTCTCTCCACTCAAAGAAAGAGGCAGGCCCCAGTGGTCAAGAAGCATCCAACCAAAGCATCCATGAACACCAGGAAGTAAAAGAAAACATCTATGACACCATAGGTCTTCCAGACCCACCATCGCTGAACTTTAACTGCAGCACCCTTAAGCAGCCCAAAAGGAGCACCTTCCTGGGTCTGGAAGCTGATTTTGCATGCTGTGACAGCCTGAGACCATTCGTCTCACAGGATAGCCTCCAGTTCAGTGAGGATGATGTATCTTACCACCAGGGACCCTCTGATACCAATTATTTGAGTTTGTTATATGACTCTTCCCGCTGTAACCTGCCTATTGCAGATAAGGCTCTGTCAGACAAATTGTCTGAAGAAGTAGATGAAATCTGGAATGATCTGGAAAATTACATCAAGAAAAACGAAGACAAATCGAGAGACCGTCTCCTTGCAGCCTTTCCGGTGAGCAAAGACGACGCACCAGAGAGGCTGTACGTCGAGAGCAGCCGTGAGCTGAGCAGAGACACAGGACGTGGCACATCTATGCTGGCCCTGCCTCAGAGCCAGGCTTTTCTCGAGCCTGGGAAGAACAGGATTGTGAGAGCTAGCAGGGCCAACTGCTCCTTGGATGATGACCTTATTTCAACAGAAGGCTCCTTCCTGAGTCTTAACCAACTCTCTCTGGCCAGTGATGTGCCTCCTGTGGACAATCCCTATGACTTAGCCAACTGCAGCTTGCCCCAAACAGACCCAGAAAGCCCTGACTCTGGGATGGAGGTCACAGACAAGACCAAGAGCAGGGTCTTTATGATGGCCAGGCAGTATAGTCAAAAGATTAAGAAGGTAAATCAGCTTTTGAAAGTGAAAAACCCAGAGTTGGAGCAGCCACCGTCCAATCAGCATAGGCCTATTCACAAAGACCTGGTGGCCATCTTGGAAGAGAAGAGGCAAGGAGGGCCTGCCATTGGTATGTTCCATACTCTGTTCTTCCTTCTTGAGTGACGTGTGTGGGAACAGGCTTCCCAATCCTCACTGTCCTTAGACAGAACACCCCATGAGGACGCTGCCATTCAAGTCTCAGCCCACACAGGCCACAAAGCCGCTGTTGGCCCTTCCCACTTTACCTCAGTTGGATCATGTCCACTAGGGCATGATTGGGCCTCAGGGTTTGGTGCACATGTAACATTGCTACAGAGTTGGTACTTTTAGGAAAATATTTCTCAAAGGGAGCCTGAAATGTAAAAGAAGCTATCCATTTTAACCTATGAAAGAAACATAAGCATTTCCCTATGAATCTCCAATGTGTTGGAGAGCAGATGCTCCTCAAAACTGTTAAGGTTCAGAAGCAGCCCGAATGGGGCCACTGTTGCTTACAGAGCCCCAGTGAAAGTGCTCACCCCTAACACAAAGGTGAGGCGATAGCTCAGTTGGGAAAGTGCTTGCCAGACACAAGAACCTGAGTTGAGCTCCCCGGCCCCATGTGAAAAAGCCAGCTGCAGTGTGACATGCCTGTCATTCAAGGCTGATGAGGCAGAGACCAGGAGGGTGGGTCACTACAGCTGGCTGGCCAGTCAATTTAGGCTCAGTGAGACCCTGTCTCAGAAGGTAAGGAAGTGAGCAATTGAGGGTGACACAAAACATATGCCTCAGGTCTACACGGGCACAGGCAAACACAGCCACAAACACATTACACACAACACAAAAGTGCCCAGTCCTGCTAGCAAAGACACACCACACACACACACACAAAGAATTATTTTCTTTTATCTTCTGTGTGTACCTATGTACTATGTGCATGCAGTGCCAAAGAAAGCCAGAAGAAGGGGTTGGATCCCTGGGAACTGCAGTTAAAGTGATGAGCTGCTATGTGGGTGCTGGAAATCAAACCCAGGTTCAGAGAACTGACCTATTTGTATGCATTTTTCCAAACTACCTTATCTGCAATTCATTGGCACTACTACTGGGTTACTTTATATAGCAGCTAGCTTCCCTGCGTTCAACAGCATCTCGCCTGGTTCCGTTACTTAACACTTAAAACAAGTTTAATTCTTCAGTCAAACTTCCTTCGTGGGCATAACTGGGGTTTTAGATGTGACGTGGGTGAGATCAGAGGTGCAGGAGGAAGCGGGTCATAGTGTGGCATGTTGAAGGACTGAAGTCATGGGAAGCTCTGAGTCAGGAATAAAGCCTGTGGCTTAATGAAAGAAAACACAAGAGGGACGTTCTCCTTTGGGGCTCTGTTCATCCCCAGACACTGATTTCTGGGATTGGGGCCAGGAATCTGCCTCTTTTTTTCTCTTTTGTGAGAGGGTCTCACATAGCCCAGGCTGGCCTCAAACTCTGTGTGTCTCTGAACCTCTTGAACTTCTGATCCTCATCGCGTTCCCACCTCCTAAATGCTGGGAATGTCGTGGCAACCTCGCTTCATGTGATACTAGGATCGGACTGGGAGCTAGCCATGTACCCTTCTAGTTCAGTCACATCCGTAGCGCCTGGGCTCTGTTCTTTATAGTCCATCCTGTTCTAAGGAACCTTGCCCTTGTCATGCCTTATGACACAACCTCAAACTCCAGGCCTTGGGATGTAGAAGCAAGGGGATCTAAGTTCTACCCAGTTCCAAGCTAGCCTGGGCTACACCGTGAGATTCCGCTTTTTAAAAAGAAAGAAAGAAAAAGAGAGAGAGAAGAAAAGCAGAAATCCTATTTTTTCTGACAAAAAAAGAAAAAAACCTACCTCAGTATGAAAAGAAAAAAGTTTGTTTTCCAATTAAAAACAGAAACCACAGTCAGGGCTACACAGAGAAACCCTGTCTCAAAAAAATCAAACAAAACAAATCAAAACCAAACAAAAACACAGAAAGCAAGTCAGACTCGATGTGGCATACATATAATCTTAGCACCAAAGAGGCCAGGGCAGGAAGATCTTAGTTTGAGTCCAGCCTGGGCTACATAGAAAAATCTTGTCTCAAAAAAAGAAAAACAAGCAAACAAACTACATAAATCAGCCTCATGGCAGGGCACATCAATGCCACTTAGACACATGGCTGTCACTGACCTCCTCTTTCTACATTCAACTTCTTTGTCTCAGTGGAAACCAATCAGTAGGAAGGACATATCTAAATTCTAAGTAAACTCAATAGATCGATGAGGAAAAAAACTATGTCAGAAATTAAAGAATGAATTGTCAGGAGGTTGCCTTTTCAATGCTTTCCGAGCAGACCAGGAAGCCAGGGCTTGCACTTGGTTTCTGAAGGGTTTTCCAGGCTCTTTTGAGTTCTTCTTTATAATTAAAATTCGAGTAAAAATTGATTTCTGAGTGACTGTGAGAGAGGCTAGAATATATTTCTTTGTCTCCTGATAATGCTAAGTCATTTACATCTTCTTTCCATGCTCGTCCTGCCAAACAGGTTGTTTTATAGTTGTAGGAGGTGACTTCAGGGGGATTCTGGGGACAGGAATAGGCGGCCTGGGAGCAGCTGCATGGTAGTAATTTCAGCCAATGGCAGAGACCAGGCCATGGTTTCCCAGATTCAGAGAAAATATACTACCAATATTTCTGATGGTGATGATGCATTGATTGTGCTCGTAGACTACAAGTTAGCAGTAATATCCAGGGTCAGGCCACCTGGAATATGAGCCAGCCATTAAGATGTAAAACTCTAAGCTTGCTTGAAGCAAGCCCTTCAGAACAAAAGAATTGAGACCTACAACGTCCGTAAATAGGTTTCTTTTTGCCCAGCTTTTAAGTATTGTGGTTGCTGATTGGTGTTCCTTTTGCCTTTTTACTTCCAGTTTGTCATGCTGTCTCTTCTTGGGGTCCCGTGTCTCTTCTCAGCTTTATATCCAGGTCTTTTCTTAACATGGTGGGCTACTAGGCTACTACTGACTTCCTTCCCCAACAACGAGGAGCGTTCCCTCCCAACGTGTCTTCTAAGAGTGCTGATTTCCCCCTCCACATGACAGGAATGTAGCCCTGGGGCCTGCCATCTCTCAGTCCTGGCTCCATCTGGGTGATCAAGGCCACTTCCTGTGCCCACTAGGCTTTCAATCAGTTGACAATGTGACTCCTTTTCTCTCTCTTGTTTATCTGGGCACAGGACGTCGTAATCGAATGGACCGATTCTCCAGACTTCTGCGCATGGGCCTTACCACTTTGCCAGGAGCTTGCTCTCGGTGTTGTGCGGAAGGAAGAGCACCCTATTCACCTGCTGAAACCCTCGAGCATCTTTATTGAACTCTGTCCCTGGGGTCTACAGGCCCCGGGTCACATGTCCACCTATAGATCACCCAACCAGGTCCAGTTGCTCCCACCTTGTAGAGCCTGTAGTAGCATGTGGCCATCTTGTTCAGCTGATAGTATTTGAGACCAAGGAGGCTGCTTGGGTTTCTGTATTTTGGGTGATATTTCTATATAGGCTTGAGAACTTTTTTATATAATGTAGGGAAGGCACATTTCTATGCTTCTGTCTACACCTGAGCAACATCAGAAATATCAATATCTTTCTAATCATCTGTCTTGGAATCAACATGTTTGATCTTTCCCACCGAAAGAATTACTTCAATTTTTGTCTTTGATGATAAGAACTGCAACCTTAAAACCTTCAGAAAAGAAAATAATAAACCAGATATAGCCTGATATTATCATGTAATAGTAATGTATATGTCCTATACAGACAGTTCCAAGGATACGATTACAGTCAAATTTTGATCCAACAGGACTTTCTCAGCTTGAGAGACCAGTTGGTGGCTACCCTTTTTCTATGCATCTGTCTAACAGTGTCTATTGAATCACAAATTGAGCTCTGAAAACTTGTCTTATTCGTATTGGCATCATGCAAGTTGTAAACGCTCTCAAGTGGGAAAATTGAGACAAGAAATAACTGAAGTAAATTTTCCCTTCTAGTGAGATACATTATATTCAGCATTTATAAATGACCCCCTCTTTGTTATCTAAAGATTAAAGCTCCCAGTATGAATTATGTATAGGAAGCATTTTGACCCAAGGCCATCTGTCTGTTTCCCCTTTCCTGTTGTGACCTGGTTTCTGTACTATCTTGACTCTATTAGGTGGTCTCAGGAAAGGCCGATAAATCTTCAATCCTGTGCTCAAAAGGAAAGGCCAAAAAGCAAATCTGTGTAATGAAATAATTTACTTCTAGTAGTTATATTTGGTTCTCAGAGCAAAGTGTCCAACATTGTTCTCCGCAACCAAAAACTCACAGACTATCTGCAGTAATAAACTAGCCTGTGAAAGTGGTCAGCTATATGGCTTTTCGTTGTGTATGTATTTGAGTATATACATATCAGACTTTTAAAATTTATTTTATACACACATATAAAATATGTTCCTGCATACACACACACACACACACACACACCATGTGCATGCATGGGCCCATGGAAGCTAGACAAAGGTATTGGATCCCCAGAAACTAGAGTTTAAAAACAGTTGTGAGCTCCCCAATATGGGCGCTGGGGATTGAACCTGGGCGTTCTGGAAGAGCAGCAAGCACTCTTAACCACTAAGCCATCTCTCTAGCACCGTGTAGGACTTATGAAAGAAGTTGGGGAAAGGGTTTTAAGTAGAGTAGGGATTGTGGGAGATTTTGAGGGATGGATGAGACTTGATCAACCAAAGAGGAGAATGGTATGAGAGGAAAGAGGCTTGAGAAATACAATGGGTCTTTTAGACATCATGAAATAAAGAGCCATGTCCTCCTCTAAGACTTTAAGGATAAATTTATGCCAGGGCACTTTTATTTGTGTTATGAATTAGCTCTGTTCTCCCTCAAATTATTGTCTCTTTGTCAGCTTGTGGAATTTCAATGCTCTCTGACTAGTTACGGATCAGCTCAGGGCTACATGTAGCATATAAGGGATGGCTCAGGCGAAAGCCCCAGCTCCCTGTGGCTGGCTCTCATAGTTAGTGCAACATGCCAGGTGTCGGGAAGATGGCTGACATAAAATGCTGCAATGCAAGTGGATGTTTATGTAGTGTCTCTTGAGGTGCTGCTACATTTGAATTCCTGTTGAGTCTTTACTGTGCTACTTAAGGAGGGATGTGCCAAGGTTTTGCTTCTAGAATACTCTGAAGAGGAATCTCTGACCTTAAATGCACTCTGAAGTTGAAACCTAAAGCATCTAATGATAAACTCTAATGAGAAGTTACACAGAGGGTTTGCCTTGATTGCAGGGAGCAGGGGTCAAGGGGTGAAAGGCTGGATGGGTTACATCTAAGAGCACATGATACCAGTGAGGTGTTTCCATCTTCAAGGAAGCTAGACTGGAAGAAATAGCAGAAGTTCCACTCAATGCATATCTCGTTTCAATTTAAAGGATAGTTTACTAACAATAGGTTACCAACCACCTAAATAGTTCATATATATATATATGATATATATATATATATATATATCATATATATGTATATATATATATATAAACAGTTCATATATGTATATATATCATATATGTATATATATATGAACTAGATGCTGTCTATATATAACATATATGGCTAGAGGGTTATCTGGAAACCGGGGCTGTTCAAACAGCTGCCAGGGGACAGCTTCTCTAAGAAAAACTTGTCTGAGGGCAAACAAGAGTAGCCTAAAGCCAGGGGAGGCTACAGCAGTGTGGTCCTGCTTCTTTTAGGACATGAGGTATTTTTATGTGTCAGAATGTAATCTCTGGCATTCTCATTTGGCAATGCTTGTTTTGGGGACTACAACCATTTTGTGGATTAATGGAATTTTCATGACATGCCCTGTACACTTGCAGATCTGCTGTTCAGATAAAATAATATAAAGTTCAATCAAAGAATACAAACTCTTTATTAAACCGTGAGTTATTTTTATTAGCGTGGCATTCAGTGACTACTCTCCCTTAATCTTAAGCCTTCTGTCTGTTTTTTAATAAGTTGTTTTGGGTGTTATATTCTTATATTTAATCTTCCTAGGCAAGGATAATCCTCTGTGTATTTATTGTTTTGTTATCTGCCTTCCAGGTGCCAGAATTGCTGAATATTCTCAACTGTATGACCAGATTGTGTTCAGAGAGACACCCCATAAAGCTCAAAAGGATGGCTGGGCCGGCACCCAAGAACCCACCCTCCACAGGCCTGCATCACCTCCCCAGGCCCAGGGTGCTGGTGAGGACTGGCTTTGGCATTCGCCCTACAGTAACGGAGAGTTGGCTGATTTCTCTTCCCAGATAGAGCAAGACTCAAAGTCAAAATACCCCATCATGTTAGAGAACGTCACAAAAATTACACCCAGACAGTTGTCGGCTGCTTGTTCGGTTCCTTCTCTCCAAGTGTCAGACCCTCTGCTGGGCTCTGTGCAGCAGAGATGCAGCGTGGTGGTCAGCCAGCCCCACAAAGAGAACTCTGGTCAGGGTCATCTTTACAACTCGCTGGGTCGCAAAGCAATCATCGCTAAACCCCAGCCTTATAGCAGACCTCAGTCATCTTCCTCAATCTTGATAAACAAATCTCTGGACTCCATCAACTACCCCAGTGAGACAGAAAAGAAGCAACTGCTCTCTTCTCAAAAAAGTCCCAGAGGCGTGAGCCAGCAGGACTTGCTGTCAGGGCTGGCAGACTCATGTCAACAGGACACGGGCAAACGGTCTAATCTCACGCTCCAAGACTCACAGAAGGTTCTGGTAGTAAATAGAAATTTACCCTTAAGCGCCCAAATAGCGACACAGAACTACTTTTCTAATTTCAAAGAGACCGAGGGAGATGAAGATGACTATGTAGAAATCAAGTCAGAAGAGGATGAAGAGGGGCTGGATCTCTCTCCAAGGCGGAGCAGGAAGTCTGACCCAAAGATCCCGGACCCTGACTGTTCTGATAACATCTGTAGCCACAACACACTTTACTCTTTGAAGGAGCCAGTGAGTGGCAGGCTTGGGCTTTCTCCTTACCTGACAGCATGTAAGGACTCTGATAAACTAAATGATTACCTGTGGAGAGGGCCATCACCCAATCAGCAAAACATTGTCCAATCTCTGAGGGAGAAATTCCAGTGTCTTAGCTCCAGCAGCTTTGCCTAGGTTTCTAGAACTGTCCAAATTAGGACAGGCTCAAAAGGAAAAAAAAAAAAATCAGGAAACTACAATCATGGATAAGAGGTAACATAAACAAAACAACCAATCAAACAAAAGCAAGTGATACAAAAACTGTAAACGAAAGCACATTTTACCCTCTTGTTATTAAAAAATTGTTTTAAACTGGTACATATATTAAAATAAAATACAGCAAAACCAACCTCATTCCTATGGTAACTTGCAAGCCTAATTTGCCCTTTGAATTTGCCAGGTGAGTGTAAACACACTTGTATCACTTGCTTTTCTTTGATGGTTGTTTTAAGTTACCTGACTCTTATCCAAGACTGTAGTTTCCTGATTTTTTTTTTTCCTTTTGAGTCTGTATGACCCACATTCCAATACAGTTCATGTTACTGTTCTGTCTGAGTCTCAGAAATTAGTAATTCCTCACACCAGTATTTTGTTGCATGATTTGGTGTCACCTGCAAAGGGGAATGTCATGTTGTACAAAATGTCTTATGTAAGCAGTCCTTTAGGTTCTAGGATAAATCTGTAGCTTTATTGATCATGTCTGTGGACCAAGCTGCAGACTTTGAGAGCCAGTGTGTGTGTGTGTGTGTGTGTGTGTGTGTGTGTGTGTTTTCATTGTGCGTGCTTAGATGCTCCCTCAATGTTATCAATTCAGTGCTTTTGTTTAAAATAGTTTCTTCTGAAGGTGGTGGTGGGGATGTATATAACTGGGAATGTTTTATGTACTTAAATGTTCTTACTGGGTTCCTGTACTGAAGGTTCCAATTTTATATATATATATATATATAAGTTCACGTTTCACCTACTTTTTTTCTTTGTGGGGGGGGAAAGCAATGCATCTTGGGAAACATAGTTTAAATACTGTATATAAGACAATGAAAATTAGTAATGCCCATTATTTAATAAAGTTTGTAAAGTGGAAAGTAACTTTTCATTTGAATTAATGTGTTTGCACTGGAACATTCCGATGTTTCCACACTACTCAGCTATCATTCTCTTTCTTCCCCTGTGAATTACAGAGAAAAATGATTCAAAGTAAAAGGATGTCCTAGGCAGCTTTATCAGTTTGACCCAGCCTAGAACCATCTTACAGGAGAGCCTCAATTAAGGAAGTACCTAGATCAGGCAGGCCTGTGGGCGTGTCTCCAAGAGATTGTCTTTATTACTCATTGATGTAGGCGGGTCCAACCCACTGTGGGCAGCACCATCCCTAGGCTGGTGGTCCTGGACTATATAAAAAAGCTAGCTGAAGCCGGGTGGGGGTGGCGCATGCCTTTAATCCTAGCACTTGGGAGGCAGAGACAGGCAGATTTCTGAGTTCGAGGCCAGCCTGGTCTACAGAGTGAGTTCCAGAACAGCCAGGGCTACACAGAGAAAACCCTGTCTTGAAAAACAAAAACAAAGCTAGCTGAGCATGACATTGTGAGCCAGAGAGCAAGGTAGCAGGCCACATTTCTCCAGTGGGTTTTTGCTTCCTGTTTCTGCCTTGAATTCCTGCCTCGACTTCCTTCAAATAATAGACTGTGGACGGGAACTGTAAATAAGCTGAGATAAGCCCTCTCCTCCTCTAAGGTGAGTTTGTTTATGGTGTTCCTCACAACAGCAGAAAGGAATTAGGGCAGAGGATAGACTTAATCATGACAGATAAATTTTCCATATTTGGATTGCTTTTGAAGTAGTAAGCTTAGTGTCTGAAATGATTTTTGTTTTCTTGACAGGAGTCTAAAATAAGTCAGTCACTAAATTAAGGAACTTTTTATTGAAAAACATAGTAACAAGACATCCTTTTTATTATTAAACTGAAAATTTAATTATTTTTGCTATAAAGTCAGGCTTATTTCATACAACTTTACATTCCAATTTTTCTTTTTTAAAATCAGAGACAAAGTCAGGCCGGTGGTGTCCCACATCTTTAATCACAGCACTTGAGAGGCAGAGGCAGGTGGATCTCTGTGAGTCTGGGGCCAGCCTGGTCTACAGGATAAGTTCCAGGGCATCCAGGGCTACAGAGTAAAACCTTGTCTCAACAAAACAAAACAAAATAATATGTAGAGAGGGAAAGAGAGAAAAAAATATGCTTCTATAAATGGTTAATTATTGATGCTTTTTTTTTAAAGCAATCCACTTCCAAATATAAACATAAAGTCCTAGCCAATTGGGGTGAAAATACAGGCTGGCTGAATCCATCCATGAAGAAACGGTGTTAAGATTCATTCTCTAGAGTTATTTCTAGGCATTTCTAAGCATCATGCTGAAGAGGTCTCAGATCTCCCTGTTAGATTTATCGTGCGCGGCTTGGAACAGACCACAGCTGACCAAACGGTTCCACAAAGGGGGGTTTATTAAGAGAGAGAGCAGAGAGGTAGAGGAGTAGAGGCTGGCCATGACCACGTGGAGAGAGGGGGAAGGGAAGGGGGAGGGGAGAGGGCAACCTGCAGGTAAGGGGGCAAAAGAGAGAGGAGAGGGCAGGCAGCCCCTTTTATAGTGGGCAGGCCTACCTGCCTGTTGCCAGGTAACTGTGGGGAGGAGCATACCTGGCTGCTGCCAGGTAACTGTGGAGGTGGAGTTTAAACAGAATACTAACACTCCCTGGTTGTGATGAATTGCTGGAAGTCATGGGTTAAAGTCACATAAGCCAATGGCAACGACAAACCAATGTTGTGTATAAACCCTATACATTAACTCTTCAGAAGAAAGGGGCAAATATTTAAATGTCTACTAAGTTGTCTTTTGACGTAAGGAAAAATAACAATATGAAAAGTAAAAGTTAATGGTCCTTTATTTACCCTGAGTCCTCTGTGTGAGCTATGGCTTTCTCTAGCTGCCCAGTTACGGCTCCACTCATTTCACCCAGGAATGAGAATTTAGTAAAAGAAACAGTTACTGCATTTCCACAACGTTTATGTCAATGTGTCTTTATCAGAAACCTTGCGTGGATAAGATCCGAAGCTTTATTTTCTATATTAGTTTTTACTTAAAAATCCTCAAGACATAAATACACTCTCAGGTTTGCCTTCTCACCTCCCACCACCCCCATGACTAACGTACAATGATGGAGCTCTGAAACTACTGTAGTCCTACGTCACATTTAAAAATTAGATAAATGCGAAACCTCACTGCACAATGTAGAGGAGAGATTTCCTCTGTCTCCCCTCTTCATCCTTACCAGGACACTCCAAATAGATCTAGGGACCCAGTTAATACATAACAAATTAACATGAGAACAATATTATTAGTTTTGTAGAGACATGGGATACTTCTGGAAGAGTAAAATCCAAAGAAATGACCAGAGAGCGGTAGTTTTACACATCAATAACTTTGTGAAAAAAATGCAAGCACAGACAAACAGATCTTCAGGCAGGGTAGTACACTTGAGAGATATGAACAGGTATGAGGTCAAAGGTCAGGTGGCAGATGTAGAGTCTGAGGGGAAATGAGAGTTTCTTCAGAGCGTTATACAGGTTCACCAGTGGCCAGTGTCTGATACCGGGATTATTCTCCAAAAGAATCTATATGGCTTGTTATAGGTAACCCAGGCTCAGTGTCCCTCTCCTGAAGTTAGGAAAATGTCAACTGATTTTACCTTAAAATAATCAACTCACCAATTAAGCATATTCTGCGATGGTACAGCCTTGGCTCCTTCAACCTATATAACTAAACCGATTTAGGATGTTTGCTTTACAACGTATCTGAAAGCTCTTATGCAGGAGCTCAATGTTCCCTTTTAGATAAACGTTCTCACGGTAGCACACACACCTCTTGTCTTCCGATACCCTACGATGCTCTGTACCAGCTCTGCACAGAACGGGGCAATATGTCTTTGACCAACGAGTGTTTAATGATGGACTAATCAGAGTTCAAAACTTACAGAAGCCCAAAGCAGGAGATGATAGTTAAATCAGGAGCATATGGAGACAAGCATGAATGACAAACCATGAGCTTTTAGAAACCCGTATCTGGGCTGGAGAGAAGATTCAGTGTGAAGAGCAGGCATTGCTCTTGCAGAGGACCTGGGTTGGAGTTCCAGCACCCATAGGGCAGTTCACAACTGTCTCGAACTCCAGTCCTAGAGGATCTGACACCCTCTTCTGACCTCCATCGTCACCAGGCACACAGGTGGTGTACGTACATACATGCACGCAAAACAATCATACACATAAAATAAATCTAAGTTTTTAAAATAGTCACAGTGCCACTAGTGATAGTGTCACACTCTCATGGGAAGGTGGTGTTTCACGAGTCCTTGTTCTTTCCTACCTCTCAGATTCCGGAGATGTCTATTCTGGCAATTTCCAGGTACTCTCAGCTAAACGTCAATGTATCAGGTTGGTCCCTCTTTCCATCCTGGGGGTTTCATTTGGATAAAAGCCTTTCCCGTTAGTCGCTTCTGGGGATATGAAGGAAGCACAGAGTAACCTATCACATAGATTCAGAAAGAGAAGTCAGGTCACGGAAAGGGGAAAAAAAATCCCAGGAGGCTGGGGGTCAAAAGACTTTATTGCCTACTTTACAATGTAGTCCATGCCACAGGCAAAGTCCCCTTTCTAGACTAGAAACAAAGCCTTATTTCTCAGACAGTGGCTTTAGTCACATACAGCAAACAATTGGAAAGGACAGGAAGCAGTCAGACTTGCTAATTCTAAAGCCACGTGATTTTAACACAGCACAAAAGAACTGGACCTTGATAGCAATCAGAACTTCCGCTGGGTGCGCAAGCGCAGCCCCTCCCCTATGCCTTGTTGCCATAGCAACGTGTAGCTGTCCATAGGGCTCTCATGGAACCCCAAAACAAGACCATGGTGTAAGCAAATTCCTTCTTCCATAGACAAGTTAAGTTGGAGGCTATGAGCTGCTGACGCACAGGCTGAATCAGACTTGTACAATGTGCAAAGGAGTGTAAAAATAAAAATCCGAGTTTCCAACTTATCTAGAAGAAGGAGAAAAGAGCAGAGGGTGGGCCAGTCCAATTGGTCCTGTATTCTGGTGAGGCAACGCGGTGAGATCTAAGGAAAAAGTACAAAAGGCAAAGAAGCATCATTAGTGATGGTCCCTTGCTTTGACCACTGGAGGAGTTGGTTCCTTTATGGCCTTGGTTGGCAGCTTGAGCATAGATGTTCTAGATAAATAATAAAGAATCCTCTCTTGAGGGAAAATGAGTGCCTATCATGCAAAGCATGAAGAACATGACACTCCTTTGAGGGAACGTTCTATCCGAGCCAACTCACTGCCAGCTCTGCTCTGCCTGGCCTCTTCAAGCACCCAGAGGCTGTGATGTAGGAGACCCAAGAGTCTCCCTGACTGCTAGGGAGTCACACAAGGTTTAAACTACTATTCATATTCTGTTTTCTAGAGTCCCCTCTTTAGCTCAGACTCCCTTCTTGAGGGACAGGAGGCTTTTCATAGTTCTCCACCTGAACTGTCCAAAAGTGACGTCATTTCCTCGGACTCCTTGTGGATTCCACTAAAGCACCCTCCCAGTATGCAACCTTTCTCTGAGACTACAGGATTCCTCATTGGCTCTCTGGCCACTGTCTTCTCCACTCTCCTCATATGCACATCCCTCCCTCTCCTGATGGTAGCCAGCATGGTACGTCTACACAAGCACAGTGACATCTCCCACCCAGCCATCTGTGGTCTGTCTCTCCACTTGCTTGACTCTGGCTCTAAACTCACTGCTAAGAAACATGAAGGGAGTTTACCTGTTTACAAGCTAGTAAGCTAGCCTGCCTCGGTTTCCCAGGTAAGGGCATTGTTATACATCCCTGCAGGCAGACTGAGTTTCAGGATGGCCGAGACTCTTCTTCCTCCAGACTCAGCACAGCCCTGGGAGGTGCCACACAGTACTGAGTTTATTCCACAGATGAGAAATGCTATGTTTAGGGATTCCCCAGTCTTAAAGGGTCAACTATCAAACCTGCCCTAATAAA